AGGTAGTAGGATAGTACTTATATCCCACTCATTAGGAAAACCTAATGGATTAATTACCTGTCCCTGGATCTCTGAAAACTGAAGAATGCAGGAAGTCCCCCAAAGAAAAGAAAAGAAAAAAAAAAAGTCTGAGATTTTTCAAAACAATTTCCTTTAGGACTCTGTGTACAAATTATTATAAATAAAACTACTGGAGATCTTCTCAAACCACTACACATAAAAGAACAAAAACTTCTAGCTACTTAAAAGAGCAAGGAATAAAATTTTTCAATGCTAATATATGTTTTTAAAAAGGTGTTGAATTTTGACACATTTTTTTTGCTCCTATTGAGATTTTCATACATACATATGTTTTTAATTCTAATTTTTTAAAAAAATAGGTAATTGGTTTCTATGATCCCCAAACCAAATAATATAAAAAGGCATAGTGAGAAATCTACCTCTACCCCAACCTGTTCAGTTCCCCCACATATTTCCACCCTCTCCCCAGGCAGATAAGTAATGGTATTAGCTTCTTATATATCCTTCTAGGGTTTCTTATGTATGTGTAAGCAAATCTATAAACAGTCACACACACTTCTCTCCTGTCCCCCTCTTTTTGTAATATAAATGGCAGCATACTATTTTGTACTTCACTTTTATTTATTTATTTTTTAAAGTAGGCTCAACGTCCCATTTGGAACCCAACACAGGACTTGTACTCATAACCCCAAGATCAAGACCTGAGCTGAGAACAAGAGTCAGACACTTAATGGACTGAGCCCACCCAGGTGCCCCTCTGCTCTTCATTTTTTTTTTTTTTAAGATTTATTTACTATTTTGAGAGGGGCAGAGGAGAGGCAGAGGGAGAAAATCTTCAGGGAGACTCCCTGCTGAGCCGGGAGCCCGACTCAGGTCTCAATCCTGTGACCCAAGAGATCATGACCTGAGCTGAAACCAAGTGCTGGATGCTCAACTGACCAAGCCACAAGGGCACCCCTCTGCACTTCATTTTTAAACATTAAGTAGATCCTGGTAATTTTTCCATATGGGTATCTAGAAGGGTTCCTAGTCATTTTTACAGCTGCATAGTATCCATTCATTTATTTGTATGTATGGGGGGGGTGGTATGTGACATCTGCCCAGATTAAGTGTATTTAACCAGACCAAACCAACAGTCTGTTTGTTTCCAGTCTTCTGCCATTATAAATAATATTTGAATGGACACTTGTACATGAATCATTTCACATGTGTATAAGCACAGCTGCTCTGCAGAGGGCTTTAACAGGATTTTGGTAATTTGTAGGTCAATTCGTTTATGCACAACTCAGTCTTGAGGAATTCTTTTATGGGTAGTATTAAAAACACATACTGAATACAAGGCAATGCTATATTTGAAAGTGATTTTCTTTGTTTCATTTAAAGGCCACAGGGAGCAGGGGAATGACTTTTCCTCCCTAGTAAGAAAATATAATTGTAAGAATATTTATTTTTCCTAAAACTCTTTTAAGATGCTCTGTTTTAGATGATAAAACTATTGAGGGAATCCTTCCTCTGAATATGAGGGAGCTACTCTGTACTCCCTTCTGAAGTCTGGAATCAAATCCTCTTTCCTTTGTAATCTTTTCAATTCATTTCCTAGCATCACAATTACAATCCTATATCACTAGAATCTCCTTACTCATTGAACAGGCCCATTACATAAAAATCTTATAACAGGTTTCCTCTATCTTTCTCCTACTGAATAGCCAAAGGTCTCTAATTATGATAGGCGGACATTCATTCAACCTAGCAAGAAGTCAAAAGATGCCCATAGTGACGAGATGTTGACTAAAGCCCAGCCACACCTCGTAACCTTTCAGGGCCCATGGATGCCAGGAGTTCAAAAGGAGATAAAAATAATAGCTTCAGAGCTGAATTGGGAGCAAAGTTAGTAATGGCAAGTTGGCACCTTCTGTTTTCCCTGACAATACACTTCCAGAGGGCTGGGGACTAATATGGTCAGATATTATATGTATATATAATATAATATATATTATATATATATTATATTATATATATACAATATAATATGTATATTTTGACAACTCAAAATATACCCTGAAATAGAGTGGAGGAATACATATCCTTGTTGCTGTGATGGTACCATGACATCAGTAAAACCTGAGAGGGCGAAAATCAAACTTTCCTCCTCTTCACCAGGGTACACCAAGAAATCAAGATGACTAAAAAAGGGAAGGTCCTGGTAGAGTAGCAAAAACATGTAACATTACATTTACTCATTTACTATGACATGTCCTGCTGAGTTGTCCCCAACCTGCCACAGAAACTGCCCTGGGAAAGGACTCCCAGGAACTCTTTACTGTCATATCTGAAGCCGTCTTTGGTCCTCATCTTACAGTCTCTGAGGAACCTGAGAGGAGTCCTTCTTAAAAGCTAAAAAGCCAGGCACCTGGGTGGCTCAGTTGGTTGAGTGTCCGACTCTTGATTTCAGCTTCAGGTTGTGATCTCAGGATTGAGGGATCAAGCCCCATGTCAGGCTCCCTGCTCAGTGGAGAGTCTGCTTGGGATTCTCTCTCTCTCCCTCTGTCCCTCCCCCAGCTCATGTATGCATGCTTGCTAAAATAAGTAAATAAGTAAAATATTTGGGAAAAAACCAAACAACTTAAAATTCCTTTCTGCCCCGGTTTCCAAGCTACTCTCTGCTGGGTCTTCTGGCCGGCTTCTCTTCCAGCACGTGCCCAAGAGTATGCTCATGCCAACCAGCTCCAACTTTAGATCTAATCCCTCACTCAGTTATAAATATGCCCTCAGCTCCCCAATCTGTCTTCAGCCCAGGCTTCCAGACCCTTCAACTGGCACAGACACCTTCTATCAAAAATGGAACTAAATCATTTTCTTCCCCAAACCTGCCCCTCTAACAGTTCATCTCTCTATTCTGCCATCCAGAAGCGCACGTCGCCCTCGTCTCCTTCCTTGCCCAACCTTTCTGTCCATGGAGTTCCAGAGCGTCTACCTCCTTAATAATACCTAAGTTACTCTCCCTCACCCTCCCACTGCTTAATCTCCTCCCCCACCTGATGTATCCATCCTCAAATTAAATGTTTTTTCACTTTTTTGCACTGATAACTGTATATATTTGTACTGTATACAATATTCTAATGTGATTTTATGGGCCACAGCCAGGAACCCAAGTGGGGTTTAGGTGGACTGTTAAAAAACACTTTCCAATTCAACTGTAACCACGTTACTGCCATTACTCCTTCAGAGGCTCCCTACCTCTTCCATTACTCCTTGGTACACGATGTTAGATCTGCGACAATCAGGCCCCTTTTCTCTGGGTTGTACCCCACGGACACCCTCTCCTTTAGTCACATTGCATGCAGTGTCATGAACATAGCAAGCTTGTTCCTCCCTCCATGCTTCTGTTCACACTGTTGCTTTCACTCCTTCCCTGCCTCGGGGGGCAGGTGGGGGACCTCATCACCTTTCAGCTTAGGGGGATTATCATCTCTGCAGCCTCTCCTGATCCATGAATAATGCCTTTAAAAGTGTCCACCCCCACCTTTGGTCTCCTACTCTACCATACTTCCAATATAGCATCTATGTTCCTTTATTCCATTTACTTGGTATAGATGAAGCACTGTAACTTTCTTTCAAGCGATACCGTTACTTTCTCTATTTAAACAGAAGGAGATTGGGGGCAGACAGAAAATTTTGGCCACTTCTTTCAAGGAATTGAAAATATAACTGGGAATTTGGATTAGATGTAATTCCAAAAAAAACACAAAAAGTTGTGCTTTTTTTCTTATACATATATTTTCCTTAAAATATTTCGCTTGTTTACATTTAAAAATAATGACACAATTTCCCAGGAACTCAGCTTTATTCCGGTAATCACAAGCTGTGCTGAACTCACTAAGAACTGATCAAACCTATCACTGGATCAGTATAAAGGAGTACTACTTAGCACACTTTCAGAGACATGGTAGGTGAACAGTAAATTAATGAGTTGGAGAGCAATTTATATGTCTATAAACATTGATATATATACATATGGCTCATTTTTAAGATCTAGGTTACTAGGAGTTTGCCTGAAATAATGGGATACACACACACACACACACACAAACACACACATACACACACACATTTTTATGTATTTTATGTATTATGTATTTTATGTATCAAGGGTTAAGAGAGCAATACAGAGCATGTTGCCCACAGTTAACAGTACCAACATCTAACCAGATCCCTCAAAAAATATCGGGCACAAAACTATGATATAGGACATCCAATTACAACAATTCTGAGTACGATCCTTTTAAGTAAATGATAAAGAATTCTCTATGCGTGGGGCACCTGGGTGGCTCAATGGGTTAAAGCCTCTGCCTCCGGCTCTGGTCATGATCCCAGGGTCCTGGGATCGAGCCCCACATCGGGCTCTCTGCTCAGCAGGGAGCCTGCTTCCCACCCCACACCTGCCTCTCTGCCTACTTGTGATCTCTGTCTGTCAAATAAACAATTAAAATCTTAAAAAAAAAAAAAAAGAATTCTCTATGCTTAAACCTCTACTAAATTGGGGAACACTACATTAACAATAAATCCCAGCTAAGAGAAGTTCTGTTCCCTTATTTTTAATTTCTTCTAGCAAATAATACTAACTTTCAGATAAGATCTTTCTATTCCTCACACATTTGCAATCATTTTATCAATATTTTACTATTAAAAATTTGATTTAAATTTCCATTTTTGACTCAAACAGGAAGAAAAGTTTACATAAAAATACGAACTCAAGCAACAAAACTGGTTTTTAACCCCTAAAAAGTAGAGTAGTAAGGTCTAATAAACCTTAATTTAACTGGTAAAAAGAAATGAACTGTAAACACTTTCTAATAAATTTCACATAGCACAGAAGAGCAGGAGAAATTTTGGCATGCAAAACAAGCATGTGATATTTGAGAAGAGGAAAACTGAATGGGAAATCGGTCTAAGACTGACAGAAAAATAGTTATAAATACCTTATTGCTGCCTAGACTATAGGATGGAATAAGATCTTGTCGGCTGCCAGACAACTGAAAAAGAAAAAAAGAGAGGATTAGTCCTTTATTTTTATTTTTTTTTAAAGATTTTATTTATTTATTTGACAGAGTGAGTAAGAGAGAGAGAGAGCAAGCACAAGCAGGGGGAACGGCAGACAGGGGAGAAACAGGCTCCCAGCTGAGCAGGGAGCCCAATGTGGGGCTCAATCCCAGGACCCTGGGATCATGACCTGAGCCGAAAGCAGCCGCTTAATCGACTGAGCTACCCAGGCTTCCCTGGGATTAGTCCTTTAGGTGTGAAAGTACAGGAATCTACGGTCCTGGAAATACAAGAATTTGAAAACCAAATCAACAGTCAGATGGTAGCAGAGATGCTGTCAAGACATTTGTAAATTAGGCTAGTGTATACTTTGAGACATTATTATGCACAACTTTTTTTAAAGATGTATTTCTTTATTTTGAAAAAGAGAAAGCATGTGTGCAAGCCAGGAGGAGGGGCAGAGGGAGAGAGACAGAATCCTCAAGCAGACTTCCCACTGAGCACAGAGCACCAAGAAGGGCTCAATGCCAGGACCCTGAGATCATGACCTGAGCCAAAGTCAGGAGTCGGCCACTTAAACAACTGAGCCACCCAGGTGCCCCTCACAATTTTTTTTTAAACTGAATTGAACTTTAAGGTGGGAGGTTTATATCAGATCAGACACCCAGTTTACCCTGAGGCAACAACCAGCAGGGCATGGGTAAGGGATATTTCATCTGTTTATCCCCTTCTATTTAAAGGATACCAGCTTAATTATTTTACCATGTCCTGATCTTACAACTTCCTTCTCTGGGTATTCGTAGCGGATATATAGACACAAACTATTTCTTTTAAACCACAGGATTCTAAATACCAACCTCTGCAAGTATCTGCATTTGAATGTATCATTTTTTGAAGAAATGAGATTTCAAGTTGAAATAAAGGGATATATTCCTTAATGTTCCCAATCTTTCAGCCTGAGATCATTAGTGATGGCATTCAGTCACTCAGGGGCCATATGTGCCCTCCCGTTTGATACTCTCCCTACTTTCACTATCGTCTCTCAAACACCAAGGGGAAGAGTCAGCTGCTCTTCATTATGATGCTTGTACTGTGGTTTTTCTTAGTGTAAAGTTAGCAAAGGTAATATTTCTCATATCCGTATCTTTGTCAAAAGCAAGGAAAGGAGAGATAAATCACACGGCCACAATCATATTTCTTTGTGAAAAATTATTTGTATGCTTAATATGCACATAAATTATACCTCTGTTTTTAAAAACAACAAAAAACTTAAGACACTGTTATGAAATACACCTAAGTTATTTTATTCATTTATACTATCCTGGATGGCCTTTAAGCAATTGGGTTTGTAAACCGAGTCCAGACTTCTCAATTTAAAAATAATTAAGTTAGGCCCATGGCTTGCCAAAGGCACTGGGCTAGTTTTGCTTTGGCTCAACAAACACTCACTGAACACCCAGTCACTGTGCTAGGCACTGTTCATACAAAAGCTGTGAGAAACAGGAGAGACGAACTTAAATGGACACTGTCCCTACCATACCAGTGAAGACAGTGACAGAGGTGTGCACAGATGCTACAGGGTAGAGAACAGGGGCATCCTAAATCAGTCTGGAGAAGGAAATGACATCTGAGATGAGAGTTAAAGGATACAAAAAAGAGTTATCCAAGGAAAGAGGGGCAGGGCAGGAGAGCCTAGGCAGAGCACAGAATGGGGAGTCCATGTACTCACTCTGTTCACGTTGGGAGAGCTAATACTCCTCCTATTCAGCTTCCCCTTTCCTGTCAACTGTTCCTTCACTGTAACTTCCTGTCAGTCAGAAAACATACAGAGGAAAAACACAGATCAGAGGCCCACCTCCAAATCAGTACCATGCACAGCAGTGTTTGAGCTACCATCTCTACACACACATTCCTGGTTCTTTAAATCATAGCTGTTTCTTTATGCTTGGAAAGACCTAGTTCCAAACACTGTGGAGTATTCCAAGTTAACTGTACAGTGGATAGGTTCCCTAGATTCTACATTCTTTTTTGGATCTATTGACGGATGCCTTGAAGCTGACCAAACAAAAGTTAGTCCCAGGAGAAAATCGCCAAAATTAGATCATTCACTTTTGTTTTTCATAAGGATTTTTGGTTAAAACCAAAATAGCCTCCATATTACTATGTAAAATGAGGTTTAGGGTTCCACTAAGGATTAGGTATACTGCTGCATCTCTATTATCCCTTTGAGAGATCTACCCTAAAGCTGTGGCAGGCATGACCAGCTAAACAAGAAAGGGCCCATTCTGCCACCTTCCTACATATTTCTTCAGCAATGTTATTGTCCACTATCAAAGAATTTTTTAAAGTAATTCTTCAGCCAGCAAGAGTTAGGTATTTTCTCCCATTACCTCAAAGCAACTTGATACCATTTAGCACCTTGGTAAAAGTAAACTTCCAAGTGGAGCTTTTGTATGTTCAGACTTAAGTGACAAATTTAATCTAAATTAATATGCTGCACTTAAACAGATGCTTCCAAAGTTTAGATGTAACAACAATGCGAACTGCAGATAGGCAAAGAGAATCAGGCTGGGTCTGCACCGCTACTACCAGCTCTGTTGGCTAACCTGGCGGAGACGATCTAAAGTGAGAAGGTTCTCCACAGCCAGCACACTTCTGAGGTATTTTTCAATATAAGCCTCTGAGTCAGCAGAAGCTGTGTTTTCAACATTAGCTGCCATTCTTGCTAATGTTTCTCGTTCCTCTACTCCCTGGGCATCCTGGAGAACAGAAAGTTGTGTATTAAAATTAAGTACTCTACAGAAGAAAACATAAAAGCTCCTTAATCTATATAAACATACACACAGAGAGTACTGAGCTAACAAATGGGATGTATTCCAAAATTCCATTTTAACGCCAGCTTTTGGAACTCAAAATGCATTTTCCCAGAGAAATCGTGGTATAAATGGTGATCAGATTAACTTGCAAGGTTAAACCCAATGCCACTGAAACACAGCACATTCTTAATAAAACTGTCCTCTGCTTTTTTCCTACTGCAAACGAAAACGTTATTGGTTAGAAAGGATTTGGTGGAAATAGCTGGAAATACAACCAACCACCACAATACTTCAGAAATACATCACTGAGGCAAGAGACAGGAATGAGAAGCTGGGGTCCAAACAGTGCTAGTAGGAGGCAGACACAAGAGAGTAAGAATGAAAGTAGGGCGGCTTTCAACCCTTTCACTCAGCAGCCAACCATGGACTACATGTTCAACATGTGAAAGCTTCTAAAATTGGTTTCAATCCTCAGTCCTCAACACAGGCTACAGGCAGTGTAGCACCCACCAAGAAGAAAAGTATCTCGGTAAATTCTCACTCACTGTGCTTTCCCCCAGAGCCCAGCCCTGCTCCTCTCATGTGGGTGCCCCATGCATATCAATGGGACCGCTCACAAGTCAGGGAGGGCTGTTGTTAGTGCATTTAATCATGTCAGGCTAGCTTGGCTCATAACAAATTACTCTTCTCAGAGAAAATCTGATACTTTATTTACTTGTGAATTTGTTATAATAATGTCACAAACTACAAAATATATAGCCATATGCCACTGCATCTTAAGATGCCATCAACTTTAAGGAAAAAAAGTATTTTATATACCAATAAGGAGAAAAAAAAACTCTGCCAATTAACTTTAAGATATCAATTATAAGACACATTCTAACATCAAAATTATTTTTAAAAATTTAAGCGAGCTTTATTACAGATAAAATAGGGAAGAATCTGGAAGGTGGCTTAAGTTCACAAAACTTCTACCTCCTATAGTGATTCATTTGGGCCTTTTAATAACCCTGAAAAGAAACAATCATCCTCATTTTACAGATGAGGAAAAAGGAAAGCCACATAACTGGCAAAAAAGGCAAGATCAGGAGTCAAGAGACCAAGTCCTAATCTTGCATTTTTTGCCAAAGTACAATCTGCATCTTCACACTCACTCCTTGATTTCAGACAGTGAGTGTCACAGAAGGAACTGCTCTACTCTTTTCCACGGTCCTTTTCTTAGAAGCCTCCCTTCCCCTACCCCGTTACCAGCTGTGCCACAGACCAGATGAAGAAATCTGGGATTAAATATTAGGAAGCACATATATAAACTACATCATGCATCAAGCTTCCGTGGGGGGGGGTATTATAAACTCCATATGCTTGATTCCTATGACTTTCTCAGTTTAGAAAGAGAAATAACAAGAAGAAAATAATAGAAACTATAATAATGGCAATTACAATCAACTGCTCAGTGTGTGCACAACGACTTATATATATCATCTCATTTAATCCTTAAAAACAACCCTGTACAGAAGCTATCACTAACCCAATCTAATAAATGAAAAAAATTGAGGCTCCAAGTAACTTACCAAGTTCACCTCACTAATAGGTGACAAAAATAAGATTTCTGTGTGATTCCAAAACGCAAGCCTGAATCTCTGTTTTTAGGGACGTGCTATGTTACATCCCTTTGAGGGGGACAATATTGTTATCTTATGTCTACTAAGAGTAAAAAGGAGCACTACCTTCTAGGAGTGTTGATCTGCTTTTTAAAAGGAACTCCTTTAACAAAATACTAAAACTAGAACCTTTAAGCCACAAATATATTTTACAATGAATCACATTAAGATTAGGAAATTTCTTCTACAAATCTATAGTGTTTACCCAAATACACAATTTCATTGACTATATATTTCTTAGGTAGGTGACTTTCAAGGAGTTAGTTAGCTCTTTTTACAGGTTTATTTTTAGTAAACTCAAACTTCATATGATCCTTCACCTCTGGAATATTGGAGACAATTTCAAAAGTCACTCCACAGCCAGGAATAGAACTTCGATGTGACATCTTTTTTAGGAGACTCTGAGCAAAACCCTAGAGAAAAACAAAAAACAAAGATACGGTTTCCTCCCTCAAAAACTGAGTTTTCATTAACAAAGAGCTCAAAGGATACTGCATTCACCCTAACCAAAAAGAAACAGCATATTTCCGATATAAGCCAGCTGAAACCCAAATCACTAAATACAGGCTCTTCAACTTTGTCTCAGCACACAAAATCAATTTACTAGGCCCCTGCCCTTTGACAGGTCCTACACCCAATATATGAAGAATATAAACCCAAAACTCTGGAAACTGACACTGGGCATCTGGTTCAGGTCTACTTAAAGGCAACGGAAATAAGACTGTTGACTTCGATAAAATAAAATGACCTTCTAAGATGTGAGTGAGGACTGGTGACTCTTACACTTTTTTTTCACCAGTACGATGGACATCTTGCAGCATGAATATTGACAAGTTCAGGCATTAAATTCTTGACCAAAGCAGGATCGTTATGAAGAATGATTTAAGAGTGCACGGTCATTGTTTATGCTGACTGTGCTCTTCGCACAGTTAAGAATTGAACCGTTGAATTAATGCATAGATGACTCATTTGAAGATGCTGCTAAGACTGAACATCCTGTAGAGGTTGAAGAGAGCAGGGATGAGGGCAGAATACAACTGGTGAATAAAGATAAGAAGAAGAGAGAATTTTAAACCAACACCCAACCTTTTCCCTCATGCAAAAGGGCAGTAGGAAATATGTGAAAACTCCCAAAGAATATAGAAAAATTAAGCCACTTGGTCTTAGAAGTACGTAATTTCACAAACCTATTTAATAATAATTTCTTTCCTATTCAGAGCTCTTTGTTACTTTTTTAAAAGACCGTAGCTCTTAGAATGCAAAGAGACCACTGATTTCAGCCCTTCGTGAGCCTTGCAATGCAGAGCCACGGCCCATTACACCAGTCAGGGAACAGCTAAGGTTTTTTTTTTCCATGGTTCGGGTGGGGAGGGGGGTGCTGTTGTTAATTTACCTTTTGTTTTCTTTCTGTATGGAACTATTGAAGCTGATTTGCATATATGAGCACCATAAGGAATATTAGTGTCATAGGGAAGTCCCCATTCTTGTCATAAAGAAGCAATTTTTAGGACTGAAATATCTGAAACTGGGAGGAAACCCAAGTCACTTCCTTAGGTTTCCTCTTAGGAGGAAAACTGGCATGTCCTAAAGTACTATCATGTCATTCGGTATCAATCTGATAATATCACGTCATTTCATCCAGGGGAAAAATGGAGGTAAATTCTTGCTGCTATAAGAAAAAATTAAAAACAAACAAAAAAGACACCACCACCAGCGGAAGCTTGGTGACTCCACAATGCATCCTTTCTGTTAAGGATTCGGTGGGGCCGGTGCCATACCAGGTCAGTCTCGTTGCCTGGCAAGCAGAATCTCTAGTTCAGGAATGGCAAATCACTCTTCAAAATGCTCCTCAAGAGTAACGCATCTTTTTCTATCCTTTAAAGACTTCCGAGAAAAGAGAGTTGGAGAAAAGAGCGAACAGGAGACACACCATATACGTCTATAGCTCACCCGCTGACCCGGATTTATTGATGCTGGATTGCCAAGCTAAAGACCTGCAATTTTCACAGCATTACCACCAGTCTTCATTTCAAAGATGGATATCAGTGTGACATTTATAACTAAAGATTAATTTTTAGGGGTGGAGATTACAGCTAGGACTCTGTCAACCGTGACTGTGCTCTTTTAAATGAAAAGATTTCTTTTCATCTGTCCTGGTTTTAGTCAGTGTGTTGAGAAGGCCTCAAAAAAAGTGAGCACAGACAGTTCAAAGACTCCTAGAATGAGCCTCCCAAATCCTGTATTTGCAAAGCCAATGGCAGAAATAGTTTATGTTCTTCCCTTGAAGCTGTCTACTAAACCCAGTCATACGGCACGAGGTCCCTCATAATCCAGCTGCAACTGTATGGATAGCCAGGGCCCCCCCTCTGTGACATGCCCCGTCATAATGCCTGCCACACTCCGCAGCTCGAGGTCCCAGTCAACCCTGCCCTGTCCTTCCTCACCCCCTGCACTGAACAGCGTATGTCCTCCTCTGGCACCGTGTCTGTAAAAGAGTGGCCGGCATGCTACCACCCTGGCTCTGATGGCTTCTCGGACGTGCTTGGTGTGAGCTCTCCATGGCTTCGCCCACAGTCTTCCCGCACTCAGGGAACACCTGCCTTCCCGCACTAACCCAATAGAGGCGCCGTCTGTTTATTCAGCTACACACGCCGATGGACACTGGCGGTTTCAAGATGCAGACTAATTCTTACTCATCTTGCTACCCAAAAGCTCGACAGAGTACACTATCCAAATATTTGAGTCCACACATTAGCAGAGATGACTGAGAGGGAAGAAAGAAGCACAAAGCAGAGGGTGAGTCCAAGCAACAACAAATCTGCAGAGAACTGTCACGTCTTGTGCGACCCAAAGGTAAAGTCAAAAACCTATAACTGCGCTTTGACGGGGCATTGGGGCACCCATCTGTGACTCTGTAATAAGAAGGACTCACTTCAATAACTGAACACTATCTAGGAGGAAGTCAGAACAGCAGGGGCCGGGAATGAAGCAGACCCGATTACATGACAGCAAGGGTTGAGTTGAAGAGAAAAGTGAAACGGTTCACAGAGGCTGTGTGGACAAGAGGCCAGAGCAATCATTCCTGGCCCTGCCCCTAATTGGACCTGTGATTAAAATCAGTTCTTCAACTGGGATTAATGACTCACCTGCCGGCCATGAACATGGACACAAATTCGTTTCCGTAATACCAGCTGCATGTCGGCCGGATGGCTGAGCTGGACTGTCACCCGCACAATCATATACACGCGCTCATCCGCTGGGGTGCCTTTACTGAGCTGAGGACAGCTGTGCACGGCAGAGTCCCAAGAGGCTTCTGCTCTCACCTGCAGGGACCAAAAGAACATACTTTGTTTGCCCTCTCCTCCTGAACACAAAACACTTCACAAGGAAACATACTGGCTTGGCTGAAGTTGGACATACTGGTCCCCACTGAAGATCTACTAGAAGTGGCCGGAAAGACTCCAGGATGTGAGGATGTGGCCTCCATCACTCTAGTCTGGGAAGTACAGGGGATAATGTTCTTGGCTGGTGGGATTCTAAAATGTTTTTATTTTGCAAAATGCTCAAACATAAAGGAAAGATGTAAATTCAGGACAATGAACTCCTGTGTTATCTTCCATCTAGAATCATCAGCTATTAATATTTTGCCACTTCTCCGGTCTCTTTCTTACAACTCATACACATGCAGGATTATTTTTTGCTGAACCACTTTTGAGTCAGTTACAGACCTGTTACTCTACCTGCCTAAATAGATTAACAAGTATCTTCTAACAGCAAGAACATCCTCTGACTTAACTATAGGACAATTATATTCAGGAAATTTAACATCAACACAATACTGATATAATACAGTCCATATTCAAATCTTTCAACTGTTCCAATCCAGGATCACTAACTGCACTTAGCTGTCATGTCCCTTTAGTCTACTTTCAACTGGAATGGTTCCCCAGCCCTTCTTTGTCACTCGTAACACTGATAGGACCACTGTTGTATAGAATGCATCACAACTGGGTGTGCTAGCTTTGCCCCCTACTATTGAAGTTTTGCATCTTTTAGGAATACCACTAAGGGATGATGTGCCCTCCAGAGCACCCCATCAGCTTTCCTTGCTTTAACTACTTTTTCACTTTTCCAGTATACTCAAAACTAGAAAGTAAGCCCCCACTGTACACACATCACCCAGATTCAAACATTATCAAGATTTTGGCACACTGCCTTTATCTACTCTTTTTGCCCTCTTCTTAAAACGTCTTTACTGAAGAATTAAAGGAGATCCCAAACACTGTGTCATTTTACCGATATGCACTTTAGTAGCATTTCCCCACAGAGGGGACCACTGCTGGCCTGAACTATGAATACTAACAGAGATCCTTTACAAGAAGGGGAACTAATTTGACCGTACACTCCTTCTGGAAGGGGTTCCACTCTTTCTGGAAGTCACAATGAAAGGTTTTCATTTATATTTCTTGAGAAATGTAAGCATTAAAATGCTTACCTTGCTGACCATTTCAAAAGATGTATTGAAAGGTTAAAGAAACTAGTTTTCATATGATTTTCCCTACTTATGCTTTGTTTACCTCTCCATCATGCTGTTTTACAATCTGCAGTTCAAAGAACTCATCCTCTTCTTCCCCGGTTAGGGTAGCATCCCATCCACCAGCTTCTGGGTCATCAAGATTATCTTGGGAGCTGAAATCATCAGCTAAAAGCAAGTTCCATTAAATCAGAGATCATTTCAAAGGATAACCCCTACCAGCTAAATTTCAATGTGCTTAGTATTAAAATTCTACTGCCTCAAATTTCATTTGCTTTTGGCTCTAAAATCTCACATGACATGGAAGAGAACCATTAAACAGTTCACAGTTCTTAGAGATGGATAGACTCTCAAGAAATTATCTTAACCAATCTCCTACCTTTATGCCTTATTTTACATGGAAGGCAAATGAAGCCAAGATACCCAAGAGATTACTCAAGGTCAGCCCATAAATGTTAATGATAGGATTATAACCCAAATTCCCCATCTTTTAGTACACTGAAGAAATGAGAAGCGAGAGTGATTCCAATTATCTGACCGTTAAGTTCAACAAAAGAATCAATTGGCTACATGAGCCAGAAACTTGGAGGGTTGCCCCTTGGCCCTTTAGTTATTTAGTTCTAAGTCTGGCCCTCCCAACCCCCTATCCATCTTAAGCTTGTGAGCAGCCATCAAAGTATCTTTCTAGTATGTGGGCTTATGGGGATCAAGAATGGGCATCAGGCTGCACAAGTTTTTGATCATGTCTTGGGATGTCCATACAAACAGGTCTTCTATAAGCTTATTCTTTTCCGCTCTTACCTTCCTACACACGTGCACAAGCACGTGCACACACGAGCCCCTCAACTATCTAGGAACCTAACGTAAGGACAGTAGGCCCCAGAATAAGCTTCAGCCTCCAAGGCGCCAGAGAACAACAAGGTAGGCTAGAGAGCTGTGGCAAAACACTGAAACCCTCTCAGGTGGACAGACAGTAGAAGTGACTTAAGCATTATCTGCTAACTCTGTGTGCACACAAAATTTTCCATATGTCTAAATAAACCAAGTAGTACAAGATGCTAAATACCTTAGTTATTATAACTCACTTTCAGCTGGGTGGAAACAAACCACTGAGGACATCCAAGCTTGCCTATCTAGGACAGTTCATTATAATACACAGTTTCTCTGCAGATGTTTTAGGAATTTAACTGCTGACTTTTACCTTATCATTAGCTCTTTAATCTACCTTTTCATTTTATTTTCCTTCCTTGGACAGAATAAATGTAAAATGTAGCCACATCTAAAATATTTTATATGAAGGAGAAAAAAGTCAGAAAAATTGGACAGTTTCTCACAAATAAGCAATGCAGGAATGAGGGCATAAGAACTCAGAGGGGCGCTTGGGTGGCTCAGTGGGTTAAGCTTCTGCCTTCGGCTCAGGTCATGATCCCAGGGCCCTGGGACCGAGCCCCTCATTGAGCTCTCTGCTCAGTAGGGAGTCTGCTTCCCCCTCTCTCTGCCTACTTGTGATCTCTCTCTCTCTCTGTCAAATAAATAGATAAGTAATCTTAAAAAAAAAAAAAAAGAACTCACAGAAAAAGTGAGAAATTTATTAGCTAAGGTTAAGAAAACACCAGATAAAAGAAAGCATCCTACATAAGCATCACTGGTTATTAGACCTTTCCAGAGAAAAGTCTTTTCCTAAGAATAAAGAAGACAACACTGAAGTGCAGGGAAATACCTGTTACTGCTACTTCACATGAAGAGAAGAACAAAGCACACACACAGCCGTTAACGGATTACCCAGTGAAATGTGCAAACGCCCTGGGATGAAACATACTTACCTCCGCTACAGAAATATTACTCTTACAGAAAATTCATTCTTAGTCAAGTGTCAGTGTCCCTCCGCATACATAAAATAGACCCTAACCATACTCTTACAGAATTGCCTAACTGCAGACTTTGTTAGAATCTAAGTGTTACTCAGACACTAATTTGTCTGAGGTAAGCCTTTAGAAAGCATCTCCTAACTTACCATTTAAGTCAAGGAATATAACAGGAATGTGTGTTTCCATCCCAGGAACTGGGGTCCTAAAACACAATAAACAAATAGCACCTCAAATAAAGCCGACTTTCTCAGCAGAATGTACTTTGAGACACAGCGTTAACCCACACTGAGAAGTATTACAGGTCAAGCCAGTAACAACTGTGGGTATTGTTTTTTTGTCATAATTTCACATCAAAGATGCCCCAAAGACTTACCTGTAAATGCTGCTTCTTTTCACTGGTGCTCTTGTGTATAATTATCATACATTCTGATCCTAGAATTCAGTCTTATAAGATACAGCTACCTGTTTGTAATTGCAAGCTTCCTTGTTTAAAGTTACTTTCTTAAAAAATTATATACCTAAGGGCCCCATATGGCTTAATTTACTATTTTTAATTTCTATAAAGTGGCACAGAACATTTGCTGACAGTACAGTTTAAGCCAGCACAAAACCAAAAACTCCTGGAGATGCAATTTTATTATGACCGAATGGTCTTTTAAGGGAATGACCCAAGTAATTAACATATTAACTTTTCTTTTTTAATGCTAAGTGCAGTGGTATTAAATATTGATTTAGATTCTCAGAATTCTTAATTACTTGGGCCAATAACAATATTATTTAATAAAACAGTTTTAAGCCATAGTTACTCCAACTCATGAAAATAATTTAACACTTCCTCTAATTCAAACTTTTCCCCCTATGCTATGATGAGTCTTCCATTAGTTGAAACAGAGGCAAAACTGATATGGAGAGTGCGCGGCTCAGTGAGCATCTGAAAAGTCTGAAGACATGTGGCAGCATTCATACCATTCTGCTGGGGCCCCTGGAATGCCACTGCCAGCAGAGGGGACCATGACTGCATTTCGCTCCTCAGTCAGAGTCAGCCTCATCTCTAGAAGTTGCGCTTCACGGTCAGCATCATCCTCTGTTTTATCTAGAACATCAAGAATGAAGATCAAATATAGACTTCTCAGTTGATTTACACTTTCATCCTGCATATCAATAGGATTTGACTGTATTCAGTACTGGTTGATGAGGGTTCACTGAAAACTTATTACTTCCCTAATTAGTAATAAAAAATATCACAGTAAGAAATGAACTATAAGCTAAAGAGCTGGTGTACTCTTACAGAAAGGCCATCTCTGGCTCATGGAAGGCCGCCATGGGCCAGCACATGAATAATTTCTTCCAGAATTAGAGGATTCAGGTGCTTTTGGACAAGAAATCAAGAACGTTAGCATCCTCCTTAATTTATTTTTGAAGGACAATGTTTACAAACTGTATTTCTCTCTTTGTTGGGGATGGAAGGGAAACTTACAGAAAGACATCATTACAGTTAAATAAATGTTATTCTGAAAGGATATGACATTAATAAGTAACATTCCTATACACATTATTGATGTGTCCATCTACTTCTAATTTATATGGCTGCAAATGAAATTAATTATGCATAGATTTGGTGGGGGGGAGGAAATATTCAACTTGCTTTTCTTACCATGTTTACTGACAAGCTTCTGCAGTTGTTGATCTAAGTATTCCTGGCGTTTTGTTAACGCATTTAGCCATTTTCGACGCAGTCTCTCTAAATCCCGATCCTGGAAGAAAGCGTGGGAAATTATGGCAAATATAATGTCAAGACAAGATATTTGAAACCAATGCTCCATCTACCTTACTCTAAGGCTTCAAAAATGTGAAGTATTATATATCGATCTGTTTATTACCACTACTAGTTGACTCCAATCATTATTCAGAACAGGAAGTTCCAGAAATCAAAGCACTGCTGTTACTGGAAAAAGACAGCTTCTGAAAGGGCATCCTCTGATATCTAGAACCAGTTTTATTTCTATTGGTTCGAGAGGCAGAACTCCAAGTAACTAAGATCTACAATGTCCCTCTGCTGGATAAAAATCACAAATACTTGGGCACCTGGCTGGCTATCAGGAGAGCACATGACTCTTGATCTCCGGGTCGTGAGTTTGAGCCCTGCACAGAAGGTAGATATTACCAAAAAAAAAAAAAAAAAAGGGCAAACCTAAAAAAAAAAAATCATGAATACTACCCAATAATCTTCAATTCTATATCTGTGGGAACCATCATAAGAATTCCTCAAACTTCTAACCTGTTTCAGCCTTCAACATGTTTCACTGGTCTCTACAAATAGCATGTAAATGCTTCTCTCCTTTATTTCTTGTGGGGGTGTTTTGGAAAGGAGAGGGGGCGTTATCACCAGAATAAGAACTCTACCAGTCAACACCCGACTATATACCAATCTAGCCTCATTTCCTTTCATAATAAAGTTAACAAGACTGGGTAGATCAGTGGAATGCTGAGGATACAGTGTGTATCTGGATTTCACTAAAGCACTTAACCAAATAGCTCATGACGTTCTTGTAGACAAGATGGAGAAATGTGCAATGAATCTACTTGAATGAAATCATAAATGACTGAAATATCACATCCAAAGAACAATGATTAATGGAATAATGTCAGCTTAAAAGAAGTCTCTATTGTTGTGCCATACGACTCTGTATTTAACCCTATCTGATCCAATATTTTTATCAGTCACTTATAGGAAGGCAGACATTTTTATCAAATTATAATGATGTAAAGCCAGGAGAGTGACTACACTGGATGACATAATCAGGATCCAAAGAGCTCTGACAGTCCTAAACAATGACTAGCAAGACTAACAAGATAGAACTTGACAGACATAAACAAAATCTTGCAGGAGATTAGGAAGAGGGGTGGCGGGCAAAACCAAACCTGTGTGACTCTTGGAAGTGGGAAAGGGTGACCTGGTTTAGAAGATGGAAAATACCTAACAAGTGTTTGACTGAGGCTCATTATGAGATAGCTCTTACAGGGAAAAGTGTGGGCGACTCCACTCAAGGAGAGAAAGAGTACAAGAATAAGGATCTGGAGAAATGGATCTGTAGGAAACTTAGATGCAGAGCTCCAGGTTTGGAAAAGGGTAACAGTCACAAATGATTTCCTACATTGAAGTCTACGAAACTTGTTTTAATTCGAGAAAAAGCAGTATTTGATTCAAAATTAACTGTGTAGTTATTAAGTAACAGTATGACAAGACTCAGGAATGCGTGATTCAGCACTGGAATCAAGCACATTTGATGAGGCCAACAGGTACTTCCTTACCTGGTAGCTGTCCATGTCCTCCTCTTCCTCCTAAAAGAAAAATTGGAAACTAAAACAATCATTTTTCCAAGAGTCAGACTATGCTCAACAACCAGAATCTTTTCCATACTTCCTATTTTCTAATTTAGTGAATATACTATTTTATTTCACACCTATGCTCACCCTACTCTCGGTTTTTTATAGTTTTCAGGAAGTTGGAGTCAAACCTTAAGCTTCTCATAGGAAAGTGAAGAACACTCATTTGACCTTTTCAGGAACCAGGACAATACTTTCCCTGCTGCTTTTAGAGTCCCACTCCCCAGGAGAAATCAAACACCTGCTGGCAAACAGTCTTTACAAGCCAGCAGGGGGTTTCTGCAGAGGGGGTGGGTGATAGGGGAAGTTAATCAGTAGTAGACAACCGAGGAATTTCTAGAGACTTCAATGTCTTAACCCTCAGTCTCCCATTTACCAGGGCAAAACCAACAGTCTGGTGCAAGTGCAGCGATTCCATGCAAATGCAATATAGTAAAAAAAAAAAAAAAAAGAAAAGAAAAAGAAAAAGAAGGAAAGAAAAAAGAAATCAAAGAAAAACGAAAGAAAAAACTGAAAGAATTGTTCAGAGAAGGCAGTTTTCTGGCAGGTTCCAAAAGACACTCTTATCTTGTTAGGTCTTTCAGCAAGAACATAACTGGCACAGAAACTTACATGAAAGGTCTCATGAGTCTTCGGGGATCTCAGTGTTCTAACTTTTACACATCCAATGCCAACAGACAATATACATTCTTCCATCAATGGTAAAGTCCCAGATTCCTGCACAGACTTCACTTCCACTTGGACTCGCCGCGACTGTCCCTGTATCACAGATATTTTGCTTAAAAATCAGTTTAATTTCTAAAAATTTGGTTTAGAGAGACCCCTACAGGCTGATGTTGAGAAAGCGTTTAACTCTGAAGACATTGTTTCACCATATATTAAAAATTAAGCAGTAAACTACCAATTGGAAAACTAATCAGGAAAAATAATTTACCTTTTCAGCAAATAGAAAGACATGGAATATTTATGGCTTGCATACTTTTTCAATAAAAAGAAACATTAAGAGAAAACATTCTAACAAAGGAAATGCAAAAAAGAAAAGGACAATAAAAACTGTTAAACTCACTTATAAAAAATACAAATTAAAATAAGCACAATACATCTTTATTTTCACTTACTAAACTAGCAATTATCTTTTAAAAAGCAATTTCTGATAGTGCCCATAGTTTATAAATCAGGTGATTACATACATTGTTGCTGGGAATATAAACTGGTAAAGCTTTCTGCAAGGCAATCTGCCTTAAAAATATAAGGATCCCTTGACCAGCAATTCAACTTTCTAGGAATCGGCTCTCAGTAAATAATCATATGTTGTATAAGGAATCTTAAAGCAATATATGTTAAGAATAACAAAAAACCAGACACAATTAAATATACAAAATTAAAACTGTTCAAACTGTGTGTATATAATAATATAAAATAATATTAGTCATTAAAATATTGCTGGAAGAAAACATATGTGACATATTAAGTTAAAAAGTATGGTTGGGGCATCTGGGTGGCTCAGATGGTTAAGCATCCAATTCTTGATCTCATGATCTCTGGGTCATGAGATCAAGTCCTGCATGGGGCTCAATACTAGGTGTGGAGCCTGCTTTAAGATTCTCTCTTTTCCTCTCCCTCTAGCCCTCCCCTACCACCATCTCGCCCTCTCAACCTCTCAAAAAAAAAAAAAAAAAAAAGCATATGGTAAACAATGTTAACCAGACCTTAAAAAAAAAAAAAAGAGAGAGATTACCAATATATAGTATGATCTACTTTTAAAAATAAGCAGTCAGAAATAAGAATGATGACCACTACCCTGGATTCACCGCTCTAATCCCAAATAATTTAAAACCGGCCTGCAAAATGAAAAATTGAGCAGAGAGAAGCTGTTCCTTCTTACATAAACTTTCATAATAAACACAACGTGACCCTCTATGTTTATAACGAAGTAGTATTTTACAAGAAGATCCTCCATATTCCCAAATTACTGACCTCAAAGTCAGTTTGTGAATTTCAGGGATGTAAAACAGAATTTGAACAATGGAATCTGCATGTATAACTTTAAGTCAGTTACTCTTCCCCTCTTCCATCAGATTTTAATTCCCAAGAGCTTCGTGTTATCAGGGAAATCAATTTAGGCAATGATTAATCAGAAGACTAGATTTGAAGAGATGGGTTACAGCTGTTTTTGATTATTTTCCAAGGATTATGTGTCAGGTATCTTGTGGAAAGAGTACCTCAGAAAACATTTTAATTTAAAATAGTTCAGTCATTTCAATTAGCCACAGTTTTGTTTGTTTACTTTGTTTGAAACAAAAAGTAACCTACTCTGTATGTGGGCCCACACTGGGAGGGTGAGTCCAAGGCACTGTAGTGGGAGGGTTCAAGGTTGGCACAGAAAGAAAAAGGAGGGAAAGATCCAGAACAGCTACTGTCCCACAGAAAAGCTTTTAAGCAGTATACTTAAATTCACAGGTTGAACTTCCTGTAACTGCTAATATTTGAGCATTTTTAAACTACAAAACAGGCAATTTCATATGTTCTCCTCTGCCGTTTTACTGTTCAAGAACAGTAGGTTCTAGTTTTGAAATATTTTAATTCAAATGAGCCTACCATCCAAGTCCTTCTATCAACAAGCCACACATGCTTCTATAATCTCCTCTTTTACTGCTTTCCAGGTCTTCCTACATGTTACTTTCTCCCCAAATTTACCTAATTCCAACCATTGTGTCTTTATTCTTGTTGTTTATGTATGAAAAAAAGCTATTGCACTACTGATTCAGCATCCACGTCAAGACCAACACCCTTCAAAAAAAAGAACCTTTCCTGATGAACTCAAGTCATCTTTGAACACTTTTAGTAAGGGTTGTCAGAAATATGACAAATACTTATATATTCTATTTATACTAAACCATAGAGAATTATCTGGTCTTGCCTTCCAGGGAACGAATTTCTGAGGCATCCAAAAAAGATATATATATAGCTTTAACAGATGTTCAGAAAAAGATGTTCTTCACACCCTTAAGAATCCTATTTTATGTATCTATCTGATGCTATAGTTTAAACTAATTTCCTTTTCCTTTCAGTTCTTTGCCCATACATGAATGAATTTGCTAAAATCCACTTGCTGGGGTCAGAGAACAAACACTGATCAGCTTTCCCCTTCTGAAACATTCAGAAACTTAAACATTTAAGCAAACTTTCTTTTTCCTTTAAACTTTTCTCAAATTCTGCTTTGAATGATTTCAACATTCATTTTCAAGAGCTATTCTAATATCTTCCCATTGTTCTAAAGTATAGAAATTATCATGGTATATAATATTCTACTAAATTTTGAACTGATGTAACATAGAGTAAAAAAGAGTATTTCCAAATCTCCCATGTAAATTCTACTAAGATATTTTCTCGTTAGCTGGCAGCAGAAACGCTTTACAGATTATAATCCACCTGGGGTTAAGTGACAATTCCTACCTATTTCTCTGCTACACTGATTTCTGGCAGGCATTCATATCTACTTAGCTGCATTTATTTAATACCTCCTGCCATATCCCAGGAAGATATTTGGTCTTTGTCCTCAGGTCCTGGCAGAGAGCTCCTGAAACTCTCAGAACTTCCTGAGTGATAATAATTATAAGTGTATCTTTTAATGATGCAACTTTAAATCTGACAGTTCTTGGTAGGCCCCCAGGTAGCTTTAGGAAGGGGGCTGGTAGCAAAAAACAAGCAAACAAACAAAAAAACAAGGCTTCACTGGAAGTTTGTAACTGTCAGCCCCACCCCAAAACCTCTGTACAGAGCAGAGAAGGGATGGAGATCAAGTTAACCACCCACAGCCAAGCTTTATGCCTGCATAGTGAACATCCATAAAAGCCTACAAACAATGAGGTCCAGTGAGCTTCCTGGCAGGGGACAAATCAAGACGGTGGGAGGGTGGCACACCCTGAGAGGACATGAACGCTCCTTATACCTCTTCCCAGACTTTGTCCCAAGCATCTCTTCCATTGGGCTATTCCTGAGTTGTATCCTTTATTTAAAAAGACTAGAAACAAGTAAAGGGGAGGAGAGCTAGGCAAACCTCTGACTTTGTAGCCATGTTGAATAGAACTGAGGACCAGATACTTGCAACAGGCATCTGCAGTGAGGGCAATGTTGTGTTTAAGTCTGAGCCCTTAAACCTGTGGCATCTGACACAAAACCGAATTGCATTGTGGGACACCACATTGGTGCCTGCAGAGAATCAGAGAAATGGCTGGTGTCAGGAGGAAAAGAACCCTTTCACCTTCCAAGTATCAAGTACTGTGCTTCACATACAGTATCTCTAAACCTCATACTAGTCCTACAAACTCAGTATTATCATCACACTTCCACTTTATACCTAAGGGAAGGTTCTGAGAGGTTACGGAACTTGCTCACAGATTTAGGGCTACGCTGTGGGAGACCAGAACTGAACCCTAGCATGTTACTAGCCTGTGAAGTGCTCATTCTTTCTGCCATGTCACACTGCTATTCCTTGTCTTTAGAAATATTCTAATGTAACACTGCATCATATGTTTCTATGGTCTCCTGCAATTCAATTCTAAGTCATTCTTTAAAGTTTATCTTTTTGCTTACTCAAACTTGAGAAGCTGGTTTTAAAATATTATAATTAATAATATATTTTTTTAAAGATTTTATTTATTTATTTGACAGAGATCACAAGTAGGCAGAGAGGCAGGCAGAGAGAGAGTGGGGGAAGCAGGCTCTCCGCTGAGCAGAGAGCCCAATGCGGGGCTTGATCCCAAGACCTGAGATCATGACCTGAGCCGAAGGCAGAGGCTCAACCCACTGAGCCAGCCACCCAGGTGCCCCTATAATTAGCATATTTTTTTTTTAAATGAAAGGAAACAGATATGTAGTAGGAGACAATTTTAATAAAAGGATGGACTTGGAGAGTCTAGATTTCATTATCACCGATCTGATATTTCTGCTAACAGGAATCCAGTATCAAGCTTTACAGTGCCAAAGAATTTAATATTAGCATTCAGAATGATAACTTCCACAATTCTGTTACCTGCCGGAGTTGAAAGATTCCTCCTGTTGGCACATCCTTTGCAGAAATTACTTCTACAGGGCAGTATTCGCCATTCTCATTCTGTTCCAAGATTTGGACCCAGAACTCCACTTTTCTGGTAACTTCACTCCATCTAGGAAATAGTTGGAAGTTCTTGGAAAATCATACATTTCTATTTCAATACAGGCAGCTTAGGATCCTTCACATGGAAACTAACAATGATAATGACCTCCAAACAGAATAATTCAGTAGAATGACCTGTAGTTCAATGAGTAATATACAAATATATACTAGCAAATATAATTAAACCAAAATTAAACAAATTTAACATCAGAACTAGAAATGGTTCCTTCCGTTTGTTCAAAAAGGTATGATAATTACAAATCTATTTCAAAGTGGTTACTCAAAAATCTAAATATGGTAATCAGAGGTCCAGAAGAAAAGTACAATGATTATCTTCACATAGATAAAGGTAGTGATATATATGCTCGATTTAGTAACTTGAAAAGAATCTTTGCTCAGATTAATAACAGAATCAAGAAAAAAACCCTCAATGCTAGTTAAGGATGTGCTGAAACATTCTAAACCCAAAACAAGAAAAAGAGAAAATCTGGATCTCTTCTACAATAAGACGGAAAGCACGAATACCCCCCTTCAGCCATTCCATTTTAACAGTCTTTTTAAAATCCTGGTACAAATACCTGCCTCCTTCAATGACTAACGGCATTTCAAAAGAACATTGCACTAAAGACAACGTAAGTAAAACCTGAATTCTAGAGAATATCTTGATCCATTCTCCCTGCAGTTGATTAACTAGAAGTAATTCAGAATAAGCAACTATTCTCCAAAAATTCATTCACTCTTTATTCTTAACTAACTCCACATTTAGTATCTCTTCCATCACTCTTCAAAGTTCACTCCTGTAAGGAAGTTTAAATGTGCTATAAATACCCTGGAAACAATAGCATCTATCCCTGGAATACTGGTAATGCTCAGGAAAGGGCTATCTTTATAAATGGCAGTATTAATCTCTAGTAAGTCTTCAAAATTATAAATGGAATCAGAAGGATATCCAAAATTCACCTGTCTCGAAGACTACGTGTTTTTGCTTGGATAATCCCCAAATCCCACAGGGCTGGGTTTTTCCGAGGATCATTCATCTTATGGCCATATACTTCAATTGCCAATGCCCCTTCTGAAAGATGTTCAATGAAGTCTTCAGTAATGTTAACAGAAAACTCCTGAAAGAAAATAATTACAGAGGAGGAAGTACTTTATGGTAACCTTATGATCACTTATATCCACTACCATACACCCAATTCATGGAGAAGAGAAATGAAAAAAAATGTTTTAGTTATAGAACAGAACTGTCATCTAATGTGCATAATGAATGCTCAGATGGTCTGACGTTCTTGACTTCAAACATAATTATAAATCTGATTTTTAAAAATATTTTTCAGGGGCGCCTGGGTGGCTCAGTGGGTTAAGTCGCTGCCTTCGGCTCAGGTCATGATCTCAGGGTCCTGGGATCGAGTCCCACATCGGGCTCTCTGCTCAGCAGGGAGCCTGCTTCCCTCTCTCTCTCTCTCTCTCTCTCTGCCTGCCTCTCCGTCTACTTGTGATCTCTCTCTGTCAAATAAATAAATAAAATCTTTAAAAAAAAAATTTTTTTTTCACCTTGAAAATCTATTGTGAAAGACCAGCATTATATTCTATTTTCTTAGCAAAATTTAGGAAGCTATTTTTAAAGTACTAATAATTATATTAAAAATTTCAACAATGATCTACAATGTCTTGATATAAAAGTTACTAGATGCAGTATGGTAGCAATGCGTTAGGGTAACAATTTTTCCTAGCTTTTAGGAAGTTAATTTTATCTCTAATAACAAGAGAGTAAGGAAATAAATAATGATCAGTGCAAATAAAATCACCTAATTTTTAAAAATTCTCCCAATCTGTCCATCTTTACAAGATATATATGATAGCATTTTAGTAATTACTAAGCTCTAAAACAGTTTATTGTAAAAAGTCATAGAACCTATACTTCTCTTTCACTATCACTCTCTCTTTCAATCTTTAACACACTAAAGGGTATTTCTATGTTTTAAATAGATTAGAAAGAGACCACTCCCTTGAAAACAATGAGATGGATTAACTGTGGCACAGTTAAGAAAAAAAAAATCAAGAGTCTGACTAGCCATGGGTTAACTGATTCCTCTGTACCAGCTGCTTCTGCTGAAACAAAAAAATACCATTATCAAATACAACCGTGATAAAGATCAAATGAAAGAATATCATAAAGTGCTTAACAGAGCATTAGGTATTCGATAAAGTTCATTCTTGTCTCTTTTCTATCTTCACTTTCTCTAAATACCAGTTTCTTAAACTTTTTAGATGACAATTTCTCCAGTAATCTAATACAAAACATGGGTTCCTTTGAGAAGGGTATATAGAGCTGACCCTTAAACAATGTTGGAATAACAGGCACCAAACCCCTGTGCAGTCAAAAATCCACACATTACTTATGACTCCCTCAAAATGTAACTACTAATAGCCTACTGTTGACCAGAAAGCCTTCCCAATAACATAAACAGTTGATTAACACATATTTTGTATGTTATGTATATTATATACCGCATTCTTACAACAAAGTAAGCTAGGGAAAAGAAAATGTTATTAAGAAAACTAAAAAGGGGGGGTGTGCCTGGGTGGCTCAGTAAGTTAAGCATCCAACCCTTGATTTTGGCTCAGGTCATGATCTCAGGGTCATGAGTCTGAGCCCCACATAAGGCTCCACACTCTGCATGGACCCTGCTTGATTCTCTCTCTCTTCCTCTGCCCCTCCCCACCCCAAAATTAATTAATTAAAAGTAAGTAAAACATTAAAAATTAAAAAAAGAAAACCAAAAGGAAGAGGAAACACATTTACAACCTGTGTTGGGCAAGGGTCAGCTGTATCCATATTCACACAACAGTAAATTTTGACTGTGGAGGAAGAGTTAAAAGCACTGACACTTTAGCGTCTGTCACCCAGCTTTACCGAGATATAACTGACATATAACACTGTGTTAATTTAAGGTATGTAATGTACTGATGACATTTTGGTTTCTGACTCCAACCACACTCTAAGAAACTCTGATACAAGATATATATTGATATCAAATTAGTAACAAAATAATGCCCACTTTACAGTTTTGTTTTTACCTAAGTAATCAAATGCTGGCCCAGTCTGGAAAACAAACTTACATTGCAATGATCAAAGACAACCATGCACTGAGGCTCCTTGCTGACAGGAGAGGAGGAGGAGGTATCAACTTCAGGTGCAACAATTACTGGCTCCTGTTGATCCCAAAAGTTGTACTTGCAGAACACAAAGTGGGACAGATGCTGTGGCAACCCAGTGGCTTGGAGTATTTTAACCTGAAGGAAAGGGAAGGCTCTGTTTTTAACTCAGAAAAGGTACAAGTATCTTGAGTCAGATAATGGGTCCCAGTCTTGACTGTGTCACTACCGGTTTTTGTTAACCAAATCCCCTTCACTCTGGGGCTGTATTTCTTCATCTGGGAAATGGTGACAACAACTGTCATATTTAGTAAGAAGTTGACAGAGGGTAAAATGACCTTGACTATAACTTGGATGTTTTCAAACATTTCAGGCCAATTCTAGTTTCTTATAACATCATCATCATCATCATATTATAATAATAATAATCAACTCAGAAAAGCGAAGTTCTCAACCATCAATACCAATCAATGATATGAATTTGGCTAACTACGGATATATCCCAAAAACATAAGACTGCTAAGAATGATGAATGAAGAATGAAATCAGCATATGTGCCAATAGGGAATATTCAGTAAAGAGCAAAAAACATTTATTTGATATTCTGAAGGCTAAAAAAGAACAAGATTCTAAGTAGAAAGTTATATGCTACTAGAGGATTTTTTGTTAAATTTTAAAGGCATCAGGATATACTTTGAAGCTCTGGAGGGACAAAGGGAAGGGGATTAAAGATGGTGAATGCTGACCATCTCTGTACCAATTCTTACAGAGGGCCTTCTACATGCAGATTTAGGGGAGATGAATCAAAGGAAATGTGCCCTGGACTGCGGGAGTGTAAGGTTTTGTGATAACCATATACAATTAGAAATACATGTCTAATCAGACCCAAATGTGCCAGGAATAAATGCCCATAATGGATTTTAAAGCAGTCAAAAATTCTAAATATTTCTTTTGGCAGGCAGTGTCAGCTTGATTTTTAAGCTCCAATTTCTGTGGTAAGTTGTGACATTCCAAAACTCCCAACTATGAAGGAAACTAAATTCTAAAATTAATGAACCAGGGGCACCTGGGTGGCTCAGAGGGTTAAAGCCTCTGCCTTCGGCTCGGGTCATGATCCCAGGGTCCTGAGATCGAGCCCCGCATCGGGCTCTGTGCTCAGTGGGGAGCCTGCTTCCTCCTCTATCTTTCTGCCTGTCTCTCTGCCTACTTGTGATCTCTGTCAAATAAATAAATAAAATATTAAAAATAAATAAATAAATAAAAAATAAAATAAAATTAATGAACCAAAACTAAATTCTGACTTTATATTTGATTATGGGCTGACTTTCATATGACTGGGCATTGATCTTTCTTATGTTCTTCACTTGATCACTTCCTGCACATTGCATAATATGCTGTGCCTCCAGTAAATAAATTTATCAAAAAATAAAATTGAATATGTGACCAACGTTGATAACAGTTCAGCAAATACAATCACAAATACAATTGTCTTAACATTTCAGGAAGCATTAATAATAACACAGAATACCAGGCAAATCAGATGACTATTTTCTTCTATACCGGGTACATAATGGGTAAGCAATGGTTGAGAACTCCTATTTTTACTCATTTTTCCCAACAATGGCAACAACAGTTTGAAACATTTAGACAGCAATTCCACAACAGGCTACAAAAAACCAGACTGACTAATGCATTTTATTCGTCTAAACCCAACAGAGAATTCAGTGTTCAGCAATTAATTTTTTGTTCATTCTAAAAACCATCACTTTTTCATTAAGTGTTTAAAATTTTTTATTATATTCTTCAAGGTGAGACAACATGATATTTGATAAGACTACAAGATTTCAGGGCGCCTGGGTGGCTCAGTGGGGCGCCTGGGTGGCTCAGTGCATTAAGCCTCTGCCTTCAGATTGGGTCATGATCTCAGGATCGTGGTGGGATCGAGCCCTGCATCAGGCTCTCTGCTCAAGGGAGCCTGCTTCCCTTCCTCTCTCTCTGCCTGCCTCTCTGCCTACTTGTGATCTCTGTCAAATAAATAAATAAAATCTTTTAAAAAAATTACAAGATTTCTGTAGAACATAGATCTAAATAAAACTCTGCCATATATTAGTTTCTGTTTTTGAGCAGATTAAATTCTTAGTTTTCTTAGGCTGAGACTTCTCCTACGTGAAACAGGATAGCTACCTAATGATACTGGAGTGAGAACTGACCATACCAATGGAATAAAATGAATGAAAACACATCAAAGCATTGAGTGGACAGATGTTGGAAACATACTTCTTTATGATTAAATTCCATCTGAAAGCCAGTATTTTTTCTAAGAAATCAATCTCAATTTTAAGGTTGAAATAACTTATAAGATTTCATATGCTGATCTATATCCTAAAGGCAACTTATCAGGAATAAGATTGCCAGGAATGAAGAATATCAGGAATGAGAATATCCTGATATCCAGAACATAGATTTTGTTTTTTTAAGTTTCTGCATACACAAATCAGAATCACCACAAGGTGTCAGAATACCACAGACTTTGACTTGCTACTGCTCACTATAAAGCTCAGGAATGTCAGAAGACATGCTGCTGAGGGTTTTAAAACATACTCATTTAATTTAATGTAATTTAAAATATCAACATGTTAATATGTGCATACTTATTTTCATCATAGAAAAATAGAACCAGACTGCTTTTATAAGCTGGTGGTACTTATCACCTATTATTGTTACATGTCCCAGACTGATTTTATTTTTTCCACCTATGTTTTGTTTATTGTCATACAGTCTGTCTTCCTTCTTCAACAAAAAAGACTATTACATGCTTAGAATATGGTCTCTAAAAACCACTTCCCACTGAAAGGAACCAGGTTCCTTAAAGAGATGGCTGATTCCAGGCTGGGATAGGAAACGTCTAGGATGGGACTAGAATATTCCTCATACCTGAAAGCAAGAAAGCTAGCCTATATAGTCTATGACAGTTAGGGTTGTGTCAAAAGGACTCCAGAGGGGAGCCCACACGTCAAAGATGGGATCATGTGAGCTTTGAGATAGGTAATAAATATACGGATCGAATCACATCAAATATGCTTACACCAAAGAGTTTATAACGATATTTGGACTAAAAACAAAATAAAATCTCACTAGTCACTTTTGTATATTAGTAGGAGACAATTATTTTGAAAATCATGTTTTTTTTAAAAAAGGAGAAAAGAATGGAGCATTTACCCTGCCCTTCCTCTATAAAATTGTATCTCTGAGGTGCAAATAGTGGCTGAAATAGGATGCCTCTTTCTAGAAAAGAATTCTAGTTAATGAATGAGGAGTGACAGGGTTATAGTATCATTCTTTTCTAACTTCTCATGAAATATATAGGTATAATCATCAATGACTGCTAATATCCCTCAAAGGACACCAGACATAATGTATCTTCTGATGGCAGAACACCCCACTACCTATAAAATGTCCTTGCTACCCATTCCCCTTACAACACCTTCGTATCTAACTACCAATTTACAGCAAACAGATCTTAATACGTTAAATAATACCAATCAGCCAAATCCAGATTATGAGAAAATACAAGACAACAACCCAGTATCTACAATAAATAAACGGTAGGGTATGAGAGAAAGAGAGAGAATGAGAGAGAAGAAACAAGCAAGCGCAAGTGTCAGCGCCTAAAGATTAGGATAGATGCCAGAGACACAGCAAACAAGACAATCAAGGAACTTGACTTGCGTGTCTCATATTAAGGAAGTATTCATTTTTAGTTATGATATAATGGTTTAAGTACTCTTCTTTTAGAGATACATACTTAACTACTATAGATGAAATACCATGTCTGGAATAGCTTCAAAATCACCCAGGGCAAGGGGACAGCACAGAGAGGCTTATTAGGCAGATGAATGAAGTAAGACTGATGGTGAGTTGATGCTGAGGGAGGTTGGGTGGGGGTCAGTAACACTTTTCTCACTACATTTGCACATGTTTGCTATCTTCCACTAAAACAGTGTCAAGATATTTTAACTTTGTTTTTTCTTAAAAAAAAAAAAAAGCTTATGTTACCCAGGATATTCTACTTTTTTTCAGTGGTGACTTTCCCAAGTGAGACAGCATCCTTGTACTGATGTTAACTTTTACACAGCTGCGTTTACTAATCTGTCACCTTTGAAATGGGCCATTATGGAGTCATCAAGCCTATGTCTCAACCTTCGGTAACCTTGTAATTTCAGAAAAAATGTTCTAAAAACAAGAATAACACCATCAAAGATTAACCTTTTAATGAACTAAGAATTCTCCCCCGCTCATTCTGAAGCATCTTAAACATCTGGGGCCTTCTTAATACATGCAAAGACCCACGGAAAGAAGGCCGTCTCTAACAGCTAAGGCTTCCCCATAGCTTTCAGCGAATGCCTCACTTTCTCCTTTCAGTATTAACTCCAATTCTAGAAATACTTACTGAGATACAGGACTGGACCGAGGATGGACTATGAAATTAGAATTAAGTTTAGGCTTCTTTCACTGCATCTTTGAATGGTCTTCTTCTCACTTATACATTATTCCTATAACCCTTGAGGATTTCTCTTCCTTAAAAATCTTTTAACTGGTTCCTCCAGTGATTCTTAGCCGACAGCATGCTGGCCCAGCTAGGGTGTGTTTGGAAATGTATGAGGGGATATTTTTCAGTGTCATAATGAGTGACACAGGCAGCACTATCTACACCAATTGGGTAAGAGTTCAGGAATATAATTACCTACTTAATATCTACCTACCAATTATCCATGAGAAAAGCACAGCACCCTATGGAGAAAGAGTTTTACATAACATGCTCTCCTTCAAGTTCACTCTGAGTCATGTTTCCAGAAATTTTCCACAGACTTTACTCTCTTAATTAATTACCTCTCCTCTCTGTCCCCAAACATGTCTTGTCTACCTCTCTCAGAGCACCTGGGTCACACAATATTGGGAGTCTTCTGTTCACTTGTGTGTCCCTCTACACACTCACAAAAAATACACAGGTTGCTCCTTAAGAGAAGAAATCCTGTATCATTCATCTTTATATTTCTAGTATGACGTCTGACAGATAACTTGCAACGAATGGCATATCTGGGAAGGATGGAAAGAGCAGGGTTTGAGACTGGCACATGCTCGAATAGCATACGCAAAGGCACATGGATGAAGAGGAACAAAACACGTAAGGAAAAACAGTGTGAAGAATGATTACAATAGGAGCTTAGGAACAGGATCAGGGCTAGGATAAATCTTGAGCAACAGCAGCAATCAAGAGGTCCAACAGGAGGAGGAAACTTACATGAAAAAAGTGTGCTTCTCTAGAGAGAAGTTCAGATAAACAGAAACCCATGTAACTTTGGAGCAGAATGGTCCAGAAGAAAGAGGTGACTTATCCAAGGCTTCACAAAGGAAGACAGTGGAAGTACCTAGCTAACTGGTAAATCAATATATATGATGAAATATGGTTTCTGGAATACCAATACGAAAGGTTTATTTAGAGACAGATATTTCAAAGTTCGAAAAAGAACACAGTATTGTCTAAATAGCCACAATCCTCAAAATCAGCTGCACTGACACTACTTCTAAATGAAACTGGGACTTACCATGCACACAAGTCTATTCTCCTGGGTTTCCTTATCACAGGAGAGGTCTGAGGTGTCATCACCTCCAGCAATTCTTTCCCCAATGTCACCACTGATTCGCATCACCTCGACATGCAGCCGACCTGCCACCTGGAACAACAGAGAAGCAGGTAATGTTTCCAGATTTTGTTTTTTCTTCTGTTTAGAGTCAAATGGTTGAGAACTTAAAAGCCTAGGTTCTAACAGTTACTTTCCCTCAAAGTTTTTGGAATAATCACCATCAAGCAGATGGAAACACAAGTATTAATAATACACATAAACAGCTCTTGTCATTATTAATGAAAAAGAGTCACAACAATATACTGTCACCACCCCACTGTTTCTTAAATTTTTCTCTGAGGGACACAAGGCATGAAGAGAAAACGTACCTCTCCTTTCTGGTTGACAATTGGAACAGCATACTGTAACTTCACGTCATAGAAGAGGGACTCGAGGAAAACATTCGCCACCCCAATGAGACTGTGATTTTCCTGCTCATCATAGAATGGATCAGCACGCTTGAAGTAAGACCGTATGACCTTTAAAGAGATTTGGAACATCACAATTTCAGAAATTACTTAAAATGAATCAATTCAACCTACTACCACTTATTGATGGCCTCTCATAAAGTCATTAAATTTAGCTTAAGCACAACACACTTTCTCTTCCTCACTCCCATTAGAACAGTGGTCAGCCTCTTTCACCCATGACAGCCATCTTAATAATATATCATGACGTTTCTCTTCTCCTTTATGTGGAAATCTTGCCATGAAAATAGGGAAAACCAACTGACTAGAAAAAGGAGTTGAGTGCACAAAAGTACTCTTTAGTTTTCATTCATGTTTATTGTACTCGTTCCTGCCAAATGATAAGATGCAGGGCTACTAACGAGAGCTGACCCCCTTCCACGAGTGTGGTTTGCTTTTTTGTAATTTGTTGATGTTTTATTTCTGGGCTGAAATACAAGAGGAGTACAGAAGAAAGAAGGAAAAAAATTTAAGAAAAAATGTCATCCAACTACAAAAAGTCAATCTTATTGATGATAATCTGGAACAAATAATTTTTTTTTTAAAAACAAGAGGCTAAAAAATAAAAATAAAAAATAAGAGGCTAAGTAAACAACTCTATATGGAAACAACACCAGCAGATTTAAAAAACTGTAAAAATATACATAACATGTATTTCTGTTTTAAAATATGCACAAGTACATGGCTGACCTAAATGGAAAACCTACAACTTGAGGGTAAAGTTCCAGAGTACAGCTCTATAGAACCCACTGTAGGATCAAAACTCCTTCCATATGTGCTCTTAGTAGTATAAATATTAAGATACCACTGATGTTCTATTAAAAAAAGAGATACTGCAGATTTCTATTTGTGAGGTTAAATGTGTAGGGAAATGGGAAGAGAGATAATAAGGCCTGGTCTTTGTCCTAAGTAAATTCACAGTTCAGTACAGAAGCAGACACATGTGACACCAACAGAGGTCAGAATGGAATGTAGAAGAGTCTACTAGAAATCCAGAGAACACAAAAGAGAAGAAGAAAGAAGATGCTAGAAAAATAGGTTATTAAGATTCCTGATTAGCCAAACAATTTAGAGGATTAAAATTATTCTAGAAATAGGATTACTATTTTAGCAGAATGAACAATTCTTCCCTAAAAATAGGTAAGCTCCTTCCTGCTTGGTTTCTTCTCTGATGACCAGTTTGGTCATTTTTCTCAGATAACTTACCGGGGTATCTTCTTCGCACTCCTTCCACTCCTGATAAAGGTCTCTCATATCCAGCAACCTATTGTCCAGTTTTTCTAAAGACCAAATCTGTTTTCCTTTTCCTTTTCTTCTCACCTGGATTGCAGGTTCACTAAGAAGAGAGCCTCGCTGTAAAACATTAAGAGTGACCATGTGAAACACAAAGATATCCACCATGGAAGCCAACTCTGAACATTCTATACCCACCATCAAATGCCACCAACCAAAACGGAATTGCTATCCTTCTCTATTCAGTTCACTGCAAAACTTCTCAGGTACCTTTTAAGCTTAATATAATGCCATTATATTCAGCTGTGATCAAAATTTGAATTTAAGTATATAAATTAGATGTGATTTAAAAAGTAAATTTATATAGTAAATTATTCATATAGGTTATTCCTATAGTAAATGGGATATAAATTTAAATTTAAAACCCAAAAGATTAAATCATGTTTAATGGGAAATCAAAAAAATCAAGCCATCATCTGACCAGAGAGTATCTATGGGTAGAAAAAGAGTCATAAGCACTGAATGACAGGGGAAAAGTCTGCTGGGATGGACAGCTAGGATATGATCTTTTACCCTTCAATAGTTTGAATTTAAAAAATTTTTTGAATGGGTAGTATCTTAATGTGGTTCAAAACAGAAAATGTTTAAAAGAGCAAACTGTAAATGGTAATTGGAGGCAACAAATTATATCAATCTGTAAATACACATAGTTCAGATACAAAATTTAAAAAATAGTATGGGTTGCCTGGGTGTCTCAGTTGGTTAAGCAGCTGCTTCGGCTCAGGTCATTATTCCAGAGTCCTGGGATTGAGTCCAGCATCAGGCTCCCTGCTCAGCAGGTAGCCTGCTTCTCACTATTCCTGTCCATCTCACTATCTCTGTCTTGCTCTCTCCAATAAATAAAAACAGTATGAACTAAAGATGCTGGTCACACAACACTGTGGACAAAATGCCACTGAATGGTTCACTTTTTTTCTTTTTTTTTTTAAAGAGAGAAGGAGGGAGGGGCAGACAGAGAGAGAGAATCTTAAGCAGGCTCCATGCTCAGTGCCCAGCACAGAGTGGGGCTCAATCTCACAACCCTGAAATCTTGACCAAAATCAAGAGTTGGACTCTTAACCAACTGAGCCACCCAGGTACCCCTGAACTATTCACTTTAAAATGGTTAATTTTACGGGCGCCTGGGTGGCTCAGTGGGTTAAGCCGCTGCCTTCGGCTCAGGTCATGATCTCAGGGTCCTGGGATCGAGTCCCGCATCGGGCTCTCTGCTCAGCAGGGAGCCTGCTTCCTCCTCTCTCTCTCTCTATCTGCCTCTCCGTCTACTTGTGATCTCTGTCTATCAAATAAATAAATAAAATCTTTAAAAAAAAAAAAAAAAAAAAAAAATAAAATGGTTAATTTTATGTTATATGAATTTCCCCAGAAAAAAACCTAGAATTTAATGAAGTTTTTCCAGCTTGTAAAAGCAAGGTGGGTTTTTTGGTTTTTGGGGGTTTTTTAGATTTTATTTATTTTAAAGACAGAGAGAGAGAGAGAGAACACAAGTGGGAGGGTCAGAGGAAGAGGGGCAGAAAAAATTCTCAAGCAGACTCCACACTGAGCTCAGGGCCTTACATGAGGCTTGAACTCAGGACCCTGAGATCATGACCTGAGCTGAAACCAAGAGTTGGATGCCCAACCGACTGTGTCATCCAGGTAACCCAAAGCAATGTGTTTTTAATATGAAAACAGTTTTTAAACTTTTTAAAACCACAAGAAGAAAATAAAAATACCCCATGTGTAGAGACATATCTATCAGTTATCTATCAGTTTAGATTTATTGGATAATTATCAACTATTTGGATCGATCTACTCAGAATTTCAAGGAACTGTGAAATACACCAACGCTGCTTTACCATCTTGCCTATAATCATTTTCAAAGAAAGAGAATGCACATGAACAAAGATTCTGAAATCTGAAGCTCAAAAATTGCCATTCTCTCTACTCTAAAGGCCCTTCTACCTTCTACACAGCCTACTAGGGAATAAATACAAAAAGCTCATCAGGGATCCACACAGAGTGGTACTGCAGGTGGAGAATACTAGAACAGGGAGGAAACGGCAGCCAGCAATATCCTGCAGCATCAAGACTTGGCCCTCCAGCAACTACAAGAAGAACTGGAAAAAAGTAAAAAAAGAAATTTCTGTCTCTTACCAAAATCACGAGAGAGAGAGAAAGTGAGAGAGAGAAAAAGGAGTACAAAGCCAGGAGTTAGACCAGAACAAACAACAGAGTTCACAGCAGGGGCAAGACATGAACTGAAATGAACCTTTCCGGTCCAAAAACAAAAGGTCGTCTTGGATAAATGCGGAAAGATCCAGCCTGAATTAAAAAAGACTCTCTCCTGGGGCGCCTGGGTGGCTCAGTGGGTTAAAGCCTCTGCCTTCGGCTCAGGTCGTGATCCCAGGATCCTGGGATCGAGCCCCGCGTCGGGCTCTCCGCTCAGCGGGGAGCCTGCTTCCTCCTCTCTCTCTGCCTGCCTCTCTGCCTACTTGTGATCTCTCTGTCAAATAAATAAATAAAATCTTTAAAAAAAAAAAAAAAAGACTCTCTCCTTAAGAAATACTTCCTTGTCCAGCTCCTCTCTCTGGGTGAAATCGGAAAATACTAATCTATTAAATCAATAATAGCGTAGATTAGTAGCCGTTAACATGTTAATAATGGCTGCCTTGATTCCAGCGATAGGCATCATCTCTAACAGCCATGCAAACAGTCCCGTGAACACACTGTCAGGTTTCTAGGAGAGACAGAGAAGCCCAAAATGACTTGTGTCACTTCTAGGTAACTGACTTGGCTGCCCAGAAGCGAGCAAGGTTGCACTTTCCAACAAAGCCTGAGCCAGGATACGCAGCAAAGGGCTACAGACAGTCATGCTTCAAGGGGATAAAATGGTTGTTTCTGTTTTTCCAACTCAGACACTACAGAATGGAAGAGACCTTGCTTTGCTCAGTCTTCTAGAAAACTAAGCCATATACCTTCTGCCTATGATTGGCTTTCCTCTACCACTTTTTGTCTGATTCCCACTGTACCCATGGTGTGCCCTACAAATACCAATAAGCAACATAAAGCTCTAAGTTCAAATCACACACAGAACATGTATCAAAAGGCAAGTTTCCATAAAGCAATGAGTGCATCACGTTTACGGTAACTGTATTACTCAAAACATTAAGCAACCTATTTGCCAAATATCTACTCTATGAAAACACTGACCCTGAGGCTGTAACGCCACAAGAAAAAGATAGTAGTCCTTGCTACCAAATCAGAATAGAAAACCCAAACATTCATTAAAGCTTTGCTGTATCAAATACTGTGGGAGAAACAAAATATTTATCTGAATATAAAATTCTATATACCATCAAAATTATGTATGAATATGATTGAGAGTTAGAAAAGGGCCTAAATAACAAAAACAACTGGATGGGAAGGATAGAAAATTTTGATGGGGCTTTCCCCCTACATTTTATTAAGGTGATTACATTATACCAAGAGAAAAAAAAAAAAAGATTTGTGATCATGAATACACACAAGAAACAACTACTAAACAGTTTTGCAGAACAATCTATTAGCAACTGAAAATGACATGTAAATATCAACTAAACACGGAACTTAAAGGAGAAAGGTTGTAGGATGGCACAGGAATGAAGGGGAAACCCCACTTTCTGAAGACTCATCAGGAAAGACTTCCCAGAAATCACAGAAACGGAGTGATGAAAGGGAGCTGAATGGAATAAATTGGTGGGGTGTGGTGGGAGGAGGTGGAGAGGATATTCTAGTGGACAAAGGACACATACACACAAAGGCAAAGAATTAAAAGCAAATGAATTCTACTTGAGAGAGGAGAATAAGTACAAAAGGATGCAGACTGCAGAAAGGGTAGGTGGGGATGAGGACACACCCACTTGTATGTAATACTGGTGAAACAGACAGCAGTTTTCTCCAGTGGTTGTGTCTGTCTCTCCCATTACCAGCAACCTCACCTTCCTGTTGGCATCCAGGCTGGAGGCTGGAATCTGCAGGGTCACTTTATACTCTGTTCTTTTATCCAGCTCCTCTGCAATGTAACTAGCTTCTCTCACCAACAGATTGGCTTTCACAATTTGTTCCCTCAGCCTCATCAGGCTGTTATTCAGCATTGCTTCTCTTTAAAAAAAAAGGGTGGGGGAGGGAGGAGATAACCATCAAGCAGCACATGGGAATATCATGTAGTACACAATATGTTAATGCCAAACTGCGAACCAAGCTTTACAAGTGCCTTGTGCACACAGGGAATATATGACTGACACCGACCCATGCACGCACTTGTATCTGGGCTACGCTGTAAGTACTGGTACTCGCTCATGTAACAAGCTGGCCGCTGATTAGGACAGTGCTTCGAAACTTGACTGTGTATACAAATCACCCCAGGATCTTGAAAACCGAAACAGCTTGACTCAGTAGGTCTGGGGTGGGGCCTGACAGGCCACACTTCTATCAGTCTCCACCTGACAGGGATGCTGCCTGTCTGCAGACCAAACTTTGAATAGCAAGAGGTTAGTTAAGTACAGTCTGTACACCATGGATGAGACATTTTAGTGCAACGCTAATTAGCCCGTATAGAGTTCAAGCTTGCAATCTGCATCTCATTAGCACCATGCTTTACCCACCTGAGCTAATCAGTCCAGATAACCACCTTTTTTTTCCTTTTTTTTAAAAAGCATCTACCCAAGCTTCACAACCTAAAGTATGATACAATGATAAAGTATAACTTCTAAGTACAAATACTTATTTATTCAAATCCAAAAGCCATACAAACTAAAATGGGGCAGTACCTAACATGGACAACTTTAAATAAATCAATAAATGGGTGATTCCTGTTTTTTCTCAAAAATGAAAAAAAAAAGATCATACAAATGGTTCTGAAGGTGTTAACAGTCTCTCGTAATATAATTCTGTAATTCTTTATCAAATAATGTCTAGATTTCTCCACACCCTCTTACGTAGGTGAGTTAAAGCGCTGAGCCTATGCTATGCACGCGTACGAAAGGCCCCAGGAGCCTACCTCTCTTCAGCCCACTGTCTCAATCGCTGCTGAGCACTGGGTGAGTGGAAAGAAAACCGGTCCCCACTACGACAGTTCTGTTTCTCAGGAGACAGCCTTCGTCGTAGCTGCTCCAATTCATGTTCATACATAAGCCTCTGGCGCTCCAACGCGGATCGTTTTTCTTCTTCATGCTGTTGTTCTAGGCTGTTCAATATGGACTGCATTGGATCTAAACAAGGTTTTTTTTTTTTAAAAGGTAAATAATCAAAGAAAGGTCACAGTACAACAGAACAGATTTCCCATGTGGTTCTATATTGCTATGCTGTTTGTCATCCTAACTAGTAAATGAAGATTTTTTTTTTTAAGATTTATTTATTTGACAGACGGAGATCACAAGGAGGCAGAGAGGCAGGTAGAGAGAGGGAGGAAGAAGCAGGCCCCCTGCTGAGCAGAGAGCCCAATGTGGGGCTCAATCCCAGGACCCTGAGATCATGACCTGGGCTGAAGGCAGAGGCTTAAACCACTGAGCCACCCAGGCACCCCTAAATGAAGATTCTTGAAGATAGTTTGGACTAAACTTGGTTGTCCTTAGTTCCCGCTACTCATCATATTATCTCTTCTGTGAGATACATGCCGAACTGTCTTCCACACAGGAAAAGCAGGTTTACTGTATGTTCTACATGTAAGCTGAGAGTGACAGTGGCAGTCAAATTTCAAACCTGAGAAATTCTATCAATGAGAACAAAGTGTGCAGCAATTTGTACTCAAGGCTGAAAGAATGAAAGGTTTTTACAAATGTAATAAATTAAAAGAATATAGAGAATAACATAAAGATTTCCTTTTTTGTTAACATTTAAAAGGCCTCAGTCACAAACATTTTTAACTCTTCATCGACTTTAGAAAGATTCTAAAACGCACAGCAGATCTGCTCACCATTATTCCCCAGAGCCTTCATGGTAACCTCCATTTGCGCATATTCATAATTGAAGTTGATTTCACTGGACACCTCACTGGAGGAGTCTCCGTCTATATCCAGCTGCTCAGAACTGGTATCATTCTTCATGGACGTGTCGTGTTCCTCATCCTCTCGATCTGCTTTCTTTTTCTTTTTAGGCAAATTCAGTCTTGGGGGGGGGGGAAGAATATTATTTTAAAAATAAAGATACGCACTTATTCCATCCATTAAACACTGGCATTTGCTAGATGCCAAGGGGTACCATCTAAGTATAAGGCAATTACTATACTCAGGAATTTTATCTTCTGGTAGTAGAAATAAATACACACTCATGCACAAATAGTTACAACAGACCATATGACTTGGGGCCACATGACTGTGACAGGCTAGGTATTGAAGAAAAGCTGAGGACCACTAGAATAACAACAGAAAAGAGACACAGTAGGAAGTCGTTTGAGCCAAGCTTTAAAAGTAGGAACAGCATGAGAAGAGATGTGGAAATGGAAACTCTCATAGTCTCTGGAGAAATTATGAATGAAAAAACACAGAGGCACACAAAATTTGCATAGCATAAGTTATGGGAGTTACTGCTGGAAAGATCAACGTATCTCAAACTTGGAAGGCTTTGAAAACCAATCCAAGTAGTTTACACCTGATTTAGTTTGGGAAGGAGAAAAATGAAAAATATTTTCCAGATACTCTGTGGAAAATTCTTTTTCCAGTAATCAAAATATCGACTGGCCTCCAAGCAAAGGATCTCCATTAACTATAAGAAAAGTCAATCTGATGTCCCAAGCATGGTGACCAGTGACAGGAAGAGGAACAAACCAGGTCTGTAGTTCTGTACAACCTCAGCCTGCCCTTCCCTAGCAACCCAACACCAGTTTTCTAGGGAAAACGTGTGCAGTCCCAGCACAGCCACTTTCTCAGCCTCCCTTGTAGTTAAGGGGTAAATTCTACCAAACAAGACAAAAATGGAAGGTTGCTGGGGGCTCTGGGAAGACTTCTGCTTTTTCTGATCAAGCAGATAGGGCTTAAGTACCACCACCCTTCTCCCTCATTTTCTTCAAATGTGCCTGGATGCTGCTTTGATATCTAGAGTGGTGTAGACGTCATTAGACCACAGGGACATGCTAAGACAAAGAGACAGTGACAAGCCTTCTGCTGTGACAGTTTTGAGAGGCTTAGCCAATCCCAACAACCATCCACCTTTGGATTTCTTATTTGGTCAGTGAAACAAACTGTTTAAGCCACTGTAGTCAAGTCTGCCACTACCTGCAGCCGAAAACATTCCTAAATGAAATACAAACTTTATTTTATGACTACGGGAACTACAACTACTCTTTTCCAATAAAACATAAACAAAAAGATAAGCATGTCAGAAAAAAAAAAATAATGAATTCTTACACCAGATGGCAAAATAATCATCTTGCACTGGGAAATAAAATGGAAAAAAAAAAAGTAAGTAAACTCCTTATTTTTTCTGAGGGTTTTTTTTTTTTTAAGATTTTTATTTATTTATTTGTCAGAGAGAGAGAGAGAGAGAGAGATTGAGTGAGCGAGCACAAGCGCACAAGCAGGCAGAGGTAGAGAGAAGCAGGTTCCCTGCCAAGCAAGGAGCCCAATGCGGGACTTGATCCCAGAACCCTGGGACCATGACCTGAGCTGAAGGCAGTGGCTCAACAGACTGAGCCACCCAGGCGTCCCTCTGAGGGTATTGTTTATATGTCTCTCAGGTTCAAAGCATATAGTAAACAAACCATTAACAGTCAGTAAATATATATGTACAAAACAACGTATACTTTTTATGGAGTTAACTTTACCTTAACATTTTTACCATACATTCTTCTGTTTCAGAGTATAATCTTAATAATCTCTCTTTAAGAGCCATGAATAATGTCATACCTGAAGAAGTGGTTGTTTCCCCAGAGAATCCTGTCCCCATGGTGGAGTTGTATAGGACTATATACAGAAGAGCCATTTACAAATGTTCTGAGGGGAGAAGAGGTTAAACAAGCAAACAATGATTATCTTATTTTCTCCTTTAGTTACCCAATACTATAGAGATCTAGTTACTAGGGAAAAAGAAATAATCAATTCCCCAAAATAATCAATTCTCCTGCCCTCAGTGAATTTTACTATTTGTATTTACTTCTCTGCTGAGAAATGCTTACAGTACTAAGTATAATAAATTACTATCCTCTATTTTTCACAATTCCGAATTTGTTATATAGCATATTAAGGAGTAAATATGGAGCCATTATAGTCAACAGGAAAAAGCTGGGAGCAGTGTACATTACAACTCAAATGAGTATGTCCAATCTACATGAATAATAAGAGCCAAGCAACCAACTAGACTCTAGAAATAGAAAAAATGAGACCTGTGCTAAATTCTTCTGTAACTTCCTAGAGCACAGAAAAACATTCATATCCTATCAATATATAAAAGATTTATAGAGTCCACTTGACTGCTTATCTTTTTTTTTAAGATTTTATTTATTTATTTGACAGAGAGAGAGATCACAAATAGGCAGAGAGGCAGACAGAAAAAGAGGAGGAAGCAGGTTCCCCGCTGAGCAGAGACCCTGATGTGGGGCTCCATCTCAGGACCCTGAGATCAATGACCTGAGCTGAAGGGAGAGACTTAACCCACTGAGCCACTCAGGCACCCCACTGACTAACTTACCTTGACAATGCAGTTCAACAGAGGGGTGGATAGAAGGATATAAAGGGAAAAATTTGCTGGTGCAGGAAAAAAACAAAACTTACGCATACCATTGTAAGACTGATGTTCCTGGAATACCAGTTTCATCAAGCCTCTCTCCTCCTGAAGGACTCATTTGCTTAGATATGGGATAAAGGTCAAGTTCTTTATCTTGACCCTTAAGGCCCTACAAAAGGAAGCCCTGTTTATCTCTCTCTCTTCCCCCCTAGCAAATTCCCAACTCCAGCCAAAAAAAAAAAAAAGTTTAGGTGCTGTCCACTAAACATGATTAATTTAATTGACTCCTCTTTCAAAACCAGGTTTACCAGTCCTGCAACCTAGAACAGCATTCCCATTCCTCCCCATCCCCCTACCAAGTTCTACTCAGCTTTCAAAGCCCAGCTGGTTTCCGCTTCCTCTGTAAAAGCTGCTCATCACTCCAGCCTATAGTGTTAGTTTCTGTACTGTCCTAAAGCACTTAACTGGCTTTATATTGCTAGTTACTTTTTATATATATATGCATATACACAAAATCCTACTCTGGCTATCTGGATTTCACTTACCATGTAGGTTTTTAAACACTATAAGTAATTGGTCCTCCTATAGTCTGATTATTCAAAACATGAACTCAAAAACTGTAACAAGAGGGAACCTACTAAAATTAGCAGATTTCAGCTTTTATGACACAAATTCCTTAAATATAATGAGGAGTTCAATTAAAGGGAAACATATAGAGGCTAATTTTTAAAAAGCTAAGCCATTAAGCCATAATTAATAAATAAAAGCATGGTTATAATAAGAGTTTTCAAAGTGTGGTCTCTGTGGGGTCCTCAAGATCAAAGCTATTTTTTTTTGTATTTTTTTTTTAATTTTATTTTTTATAAACATATATTTTTTTTCCCCAGGGGTACAGGTATGTGAATCTCCAGGTTTACACACTTCACAGCACTCACCATAGCACATACCCTACCCAATGTCCATAACCCCACCCCCCCTCAAAGCTATTTTTATAATAATGCTAACCTGCCCTTTTCACCGTGTTGACATTTATACCGGCAATGAGTAAAACTGCTGTTTTAGCACAAACCAAGGCAACGGCACCAAACATGACTAGTAGTCACCGAACCACTCATGCCATGCACTCAGAATTGTTGAAAAAGCTTTCCTTTGAGGATGTCCTTGATGAAGCAATAAAAATTATTACTTTTTAAAAACCCTGACCCTTCACAACTTTTTAAACATTTCAGGTTGACAAACGAGAAGTACATAAAAAAGCACTGACACCAGAGTATGACTACCGTCCTGAGCAAAAGACATATATAAAGTGGTATCTAGGGCAGCCATTTTCCTGCAAATGGACAAAGCGAGGAAATGCCAGCTGTGAATTTCAAGTGCGAATTGGGAGTTTGGAAACTTGTGTCAATGTCCTCCACTCAAAGACCACTAGGAGCATTCCCGTAGCTGAACAAGCTGGGCTGATTATTCATGCACAGGGAGAAGACACAGTCACAGGAAGCATGGGATGTCTCAGTACCAGTATGCTCAGAAGGACTGTTGCAGGATTTGGGCTTTAGCCAGACGAGTTGGCAAAGGGTCTGAGAGAGGGGGGCTCTGTACATGTTGGATGTGTTCAGAAGGCAAGAGTACTTTTAGGATTGGGCATTCTAAAAAAATCTGATTTATAGAGGGTAGACTAGAATGAAGATTATAATAAAGTTGTGACCAGTAAAGAAGTAATCACTCACCTCAGCCAAGAGAAAGTATTTGGTATTTGGTGTGTGACAGAGTGACCTTGGTTTTTGTCTGTGCTGAAACAAAATTATTATGTGGCCTGCTTTGTCATATTTTATCACAGCTTCAGAGTAACCTTGCCTGAGGTTGTTATTCTGTAAGACTACTTAATAAGAGAATAGCATGCCCAGGCTGGGAGTACCAGGCCTAGCTTCTGCTGTTCTTTCCTCTTCCTCATTTGTATCTTTCACCGTGAGCTGGATAGCTTCCCAATATTTAAAGACTTTTTGGATAAGTTAGTAATAATATTTTTTGAAGATTTATTTATTTTAAAAAATTGTATTTATTTGAAAGAGAGAAAGAGAGCAAGTGCACTCAGCGGGGGAAGGGAGAGAGAATCTGAAGCAGATGCCATGCAGAGCCTGATACAGGGCTCCCACGACTGTGGGCTCATGACCAGAGCCGAAACCAACAGTTGGACCTTAACCGACTGAACGACCCAGGTGCCCCATGACTTATTTATTTTTAGAAAGAGAAATAGAGAGAGAAAGAGCACACGTAGAGGAGTAGGGGGAAGGGCGGAGGGAAAGGAAAAGAAAGAATCTCCAGCACACTGCCCACTGAGTGTGGGGCCCAACTTGGGGCTCAGTCTCATAACCCTGAGATCATGACCTGAGACCATGACCTGAGTTGAAATGAAGAGTCGGATGCTCAACCAACTGTACCACTCAGGCACCCCAAAATTAGTAATGATGTTAATGATTATTCAGTATCATATAATGAAATGAATCAACATTTGAAGAATCACTCTAAGTCAATTAACAGTTGTAGACCATTATATAACAGGGCAATAACAGCTTCACAGCTCACAGAAGCAAAGTGAGAAACATTTAATTTACATAATATTATATCTCTTCATTCATTACTTATTGAATGCTTATATACTATATTATAATATATATATATAATAATATATACTTATATTCTATTACATACTAAGGAGAGAGAACCAAAAAAGAAAGGCCCCTGTCCTCAATGAGTTCACAGTCTACTGGGATAATAAAGGTTAACAGCCCACAAGAACACAGTGTGATGGCTAAGTTGGTTAAGTATCTGACTCTTGATTCCAGCTCAGGTCTTATCTCAGGGTCATGAAGTGAAGGGTCATGAAGTTAAGCCCCACATTAGGGTCCACACTGGACATGGAGACTACTTAAAAAATAAAGTTTTTTAGAAAAAGAATACAATATTAAGTCTTAACATAAGAGGAAGCATAAGGTGTACAGGGAATATATACTAGGGGCCCTTCATGAAGACCAAACAGGGAATTCCCCCAAAGTTGACAATGGCAGAGCTTAGTCTTGAAGGTCAAATACAAGTCAGTTGCTCAAAAGAACAGACACAGAGAAATAGGAGACAAATAGGAGGGATGCAAGGGATTTTATATAAAAAATAGTAGAAAGCTTGGGGTGGCTCAGTTGGTTAAGTGTCTGCCTTTGGCTTGGGTCATGATCCTGGGGTTATGAGATCGAGCCCCACATTAGGCTCCCTGCTTAGTAGGAGCCTGCTTCTCCCTCGCTCCCCTTCCTGCTGCTCCCCCACTTGTTCTCTGTGTCAAATAAATAAGTAAAATCTTCAAAAAAATTAGTCAAAAGCCATCTGGCTGTATGGTAAGTGACCCAGGAAAAAGATTAGAGTGTTGGTATAGTTCCAATCAAGATTTGATGAGGGTCTTATTTAAACAAGGCCACGGTAGTGAGTATAGAGAGGAGAGATGGGTTTAAGAGCTATTAAAAAGTTCAATGTAAAGGTCTTGGTAACTAACTGGATAGCTTCATTAAGTGAACTTAAAAGCAAAGGCCAAACATGCTTATAACACCCACAACTAGTGTACTTTCTTCCTCTTAAAAATTATGTGACATTGACACTAATTAAAGTACATTACCTGGTATTCTTCTGAGGAGTCAGCATGACCTGGCCTTCTGCTGTGATGTCTATAATACAATGTTCAGGAAGAATTCCCATGCCACATAGCTGGATATCTTGGGAATTTGCTGAGCCTATCAATGTGTGTTCCTAGAAAAGAATCAAACTCACTGATTAATACTGTATTCTTACATGTATAAAAACTGAAATCATCTCCTCTGAGCCCTCTTACGTTGATCCATTACATTAGCGAAAAGGTTCTTTGAAGCAAATGGAATGGGGTAGGAGTAATTTCTGGCTTTCTCTGAAATATATTCTATAAGGTATATTTCCTTATAAGGAATAATGCACTAAGTTGAGTTATACCTTTCAAAACTAAAACTATAGTTTCATATTAATGTCTATATTACATTATTTTCCATTGCGATCTTGATCTCAAATTTATATTACTCTCAGAGCATGAGGCATGAGTCAATAATGCACCAAAAATACTGGTCTGAAAACCACAGTTACTTAAGTTGTACATCACTAACCTAGCCTTAATCAAGATGATCAACTATAAAGATAAAAAGCTATTCAAATCTAAGGAGTTTGAAAAGATTAAAATTACTTTATGAATCCCATGGTCTCCCTAATCCTCAAAGAAGATATGATGGCTGTGTTGTTCCTACTGTAGAGCCACAATTACTCAATTCTTGAAGCCTCAGTCACCAGCCTTGCTGTTTTGGCTGGCAACTGAGAAACCGATATAAAAATCAAGCTCCCTCTTACGCACTTCAACACTTAAGGACCGTCCATACTTAAACACTGATAACACTGGGATGTGTCCCTAAGCCACCTTCTCCTTTCATACACCTAGATCTACAGTCAGACACAAAATATGCTAGGCTTTGCAAGCCATATGCAACCACTCAACTCTGTCTAGTAGTGTGAAGATGGTCAGACAACACACAAATAACAAGTATGGCTACTTTCCAGTAAAACTTTATTTATGAACACTGAAATCTGAACTGCATATAATTTTCATGTGTCTGAAATACTGTGATTCGTCTAATTTTTTTTTTAACCATTTAAAAAATGTAAAAACCATTCTTAGCTCCCAGGCCACAGAGAAGCAGGCAGGGAACTAGATCTGGTCGTTGGAAGGCTAACCTCTGATCATGATGAATTTATCCAGTTGCATGGGTATTAAATACTGTTGAAACAGGGAAACTAAAAGGACCCCAATGAAAAACTGCTATTTTTGCTCCTTTCCTGCCTCTACTCTTGCAAGGGCCTACAACCCCCACCCCCCCACACACACATACCTATAGAACAAATAATGTATGTTCTCCTTGTAAAGGTCAAGGAGTTAATGATTTCTTTGGAGTCTTCCAGCACAATAAATACCATCTAAGGAGCAACCAAGACCAATGACTCACCAAGATCTCTGGCTCCAGGGCATACGTGGCTTACTACGGAGGACACCTAAACACTCCTCTCTGTTACTGGATGCCTGGTAAGACACAATCCTCAATAAAAACCCCAGGCCCCAAGCAAAGAGGACATTCTCCTTTGCGTTCTGAGTCTCGCAGGTGCTTTGTCCGTATCTTGCACTTTCTCTAGGTCTTCGGTAAACTCCGCTCTCTTCCTCTGGGCTTCCATTTGATTTCTGTCCTGCGTGAAGGCAAGGACCTTCTTGGCTGGTCCTGCACGACCCCCTCTGGGTCCTCAGACCCCTCTTGAAGGCTACAGTCTTTAAATAAATTAAATCACCAGCCAAAAGCTAGACTTCAGTTCCATTATTTTCCTGCCTCTACTATCACTATTCTAGTCTCACTAACCATTATTTCTTGCCTACTTGGATGCTTAAAGACATTTTTTTAAGGTTTTATTTTTATTTATGTGTATGTATGTATGTATGTATGCATGTATTTACTTACTTATCTATGTATGTATGTTAAGCCAGTGCACGCACTCCCAAGTTGAGGGCGGAGTAGACGGGGGCAGAGGGGAAAAGAATTTCAGGCAGATTCTCCCCTGAGCCCGGAGCCTGAGGAGCCTGATGATGGGCTCCATCTCAGGACTCAGATCATGACCTGAGCCAAAACCAAGGGTGAGAAACCAAGGGTCAGACTCTTAATCGACTGAGTCACCCAGCTGCCCTGCTTAAAGCCATTTCAAAGCATCTAAATGTCTTTCTAAATGACATCTGAGTGTCTAGAGACATTTCAAAGTGAAAAAGCCCGAAGCAGAACTTTTGCTCCCCCAACCCCACCCAATGAATCTAGTCCCTTCCCCGACAGTGGTTACTGCCACCACCCAGTTAGTCCGCTAAAAAGCTTAGATGCTAGAGTCCTTTCCTTCCCTTACCAGCCTACCCCTGGGCCCAAGTCAATCTGAAGATCCCTATAGACTGTCCCTCCAAAACATATCCGGAATCGGCTTATTTCCCCCCATCTACCCTGCTCTACTGCAGGGGTACACCTCCTGCTATTTCCTCCACTTCTAATCCTAAACCCCCCCAACCCCATCCACTACTGGCACATAGGCAGATCATGTGATCTCCCTATTTAAAGCTCTCTAATGGTTTCCATGAAGTCCAAATTCTTATCCAGGCTTACAAAAAACACTCAGAGGTACTCCTGGGTGGTTCTGTTGGTTGGGCAACTATCTTCAGCTAAGGTCATAGTCCCAGAGACCCCGGATCGAGTCCTGTATCAGGCTCCCATCTCCATGGGGAGTCTGCTTCTCCCTCTGACCTCCTCCGCTCTCCTGCTCTCTCTCTCTCTCTCTCAAATAAAATCTTGAAGGAAAAAAAAAAAAAGAAAACACCCAGAGATGTGGCCCTGCCTATCTCTCCTATTCTAGCTCCTGCCACTCCCCCTTCTTTTGGAGCAAGATAAGGCCACAGTAGCCTTTTATCCGTCCTTTGAGCACACAGGCAGTTTCCTTGGTCTGAAATGTTTCCCCCTGACCTTGATATTGATAGTTTCTTATCGCTTCTATCTCACCTTTAAAGGGCACATTCTCAGAGAGATATATCCCGAACTGATAATCAGAAATAACCACACCATTACTCTCCTATTTCAATTCCTTACTTAGCACTGACTGTTGGGGCTCAGTACCTACCTACGCCGCTAGCTTGGAAAAAAGCAGAGAACAGTTTGACCCACTCCCCACTGTAATCCAATCACTTAACACAGGTGTGGCACAACTAGGCATTAGATAAATTCAAAAGAAAAATAAATGAACAATCACTTCCTTCAGACTCAAAGGAAGACGATTCTCTCTCCTTTGCTTGTAACTCTTCTAATTATGTTGTGGGTCCTAGTGCTTCCCATCTCTTCTGGGACCTCAATCTCATAAAAAGGGCCCCTCCCCACTAGTATTTTCATTTCCCTTCTTCTGGGGGTTTCTTCACTCAACTATACTGCAGTGGTGTTTCTAAGGCAACATGGAGCTGGGATCGAGCTGTCCCATGGTATTCTATCCAATCCCCAAGGAGTATACATAATACAGAGGACATGCCACATAAACCTTTACCCCCCACTACTGGGTGAGGCTTCCCAGCCAATCCCCAGACTTTTCTAATCTGGAAAACAAGACTTGACTGTGTAGAAACTATAAGTAATGCTTTATGATGTTCAGTAGCAGGCCTGAGGAATCTATCTCATGCCTGTCTCCATTCCCCACTTCGGTTCTTCCCACCCTGTCTTTACAAAACCAATCCCATGGTGGAGAGAATTCTGTTCCAAAAGGAGGGAAAAAGTATCTGGCTGGCTCGCTGGAGGAGCACGTGACCCTGTATCTAAGGGTTTTGAGTTCAAGCCCACATTGGGTATAGAGACTACTTCAAAACAATAAAATCTTAAAACAAAACAAAGTCTACAGAGAAAAAGGGCCCAAGACCACCTAAAAAAGAAGGAAAAATCCCCCAAAACACTTGGCTTAGGCCATTTCCACGTATAATCTCTTTTCTCCTCCTGTAAGAAATTCTAGAAAGAGTCCTAATAGTGACTTTGGTAGAAGTGGAGGTAAGCCCTGAGCTATATATTCCAGGTTGGAGTTTGAGCGTAGAACCAACTCCTACTAACATCTCCAACTGCACACAGGTTCAGGCCCCCATCTGTGCCCTTGCTCTTGCTCTCTTTGCCTGAAATGCTTCCTCTTCCCTTCATCTAAATGAGAGTGTCTTAAATACCCAGGTCTAGCTTCATCTTCTACTTGAAAGTTTCACCATTAAGTGACACCTACTTCTCCCTTCTCTGAACCCTGATTATATTCAGAGTGTGTACCACATTTTACTACCTGTGGCACAAATGTTTTTTTCCCCTTTATTTAGACAACAACCTTTACAGGAGTCCTGCATCTTTGCCAACAAAGAGCACAGCATATGATACATGGCAGACGCTAAGTATCTGGTCATAGACTGAATTAAAAATTACTGGAGATAAGATATGAACACAAGCATATAAAGGTCTAATCCAAATTCTAGAAGGAAAACTTCACTTTTTCGACAAATATTATACTGAACATGTATTAAAAGATGGGCACTGAATGGCTAGAGATAAAAGAAAGACAAAATCCCAATTCTGGTGCTTACAATCTCAGAGACAACTTAAATCTCTCATTTGAGGTTATAATCTATTCTGATTTGGATGATGATTGGCTGGAATCTAAAACATTGAGCCTTAAAAGCTCATTCTGCCAAAGCCTTACTGTTTGATGTTTAAACAAGTTGGACAATAAGCTTTTTGATAAATTCCTCCTATTTTGCTCTAAGCAATGCAATAAAAATACTCATGAGGAAAAAAATAAACTTATCATAGATTGGTGCAGAGGTTTATCTAATAAGTAAGTGCTATGAATGTACAAGGTAATCAAAATAAGATAAAGTTAATCAGTGGTAGCTTTTCCATCTCGATGTGATACATGCCTTTTTTTTTTTTTTAAAGACTGTTTAATTTTAGAGAAAGAGAGTGCATGCACCGGGGGAGAGGGGCAGAGGGAGAGAAAAGGTCTCAAGCAGACTCTGCCTCAAGCATGGAGCCCGACACAGGCCGCAGGGCTTGAGCCCATGTCCCCAAGATCATGACCTGAGCTGAAACCAATAGTTGGATGCCCAACCAACCGCGCTGCCCAGGCACCCCTGAATATAATGATTCTTAAAGTATACTAGTTTTCAGGAAAAATTTAACAAATATAAAATACTAGATTTTAAAATCTCAGAAACAGCCAAAGGCTAGAAATGGCCTTTTAATCTTTCTTCATCCATTTAAATTTAATTTCACTGGCGATGATTAGTTAACTATTCTATGAATTACAGTACCTTGCTTCCTTTATAAATCAACTATTTATGTAGCTTTTTTAAGAATCTCCCCTTCATCCACTAAATCCTAAAGGAGAAAGAGAAAGAGACCGAGGAAGAAGGGGACGTGAAAATGAGGGAGGAGAGAAAGGAAGATGAAGAGAGACAGGAATTGTCCACTAGTGACGTATTTCACAGGGCAAGCTTTTCCGAGCCTACAAGAAGGAAAAGCAGCATATTAGTAAAGCCTATGAGGTTCCTCAGACTTATCAGCATCCTCAGATAATTTCTGAAGGAAAAGGTAAGTGAGTATCAGGGGCACTAAGGAGAAAAATACTTGTTACTCCTCACATATCTAAATAATCAAAATTCCTTAATAAGTCATGCTGGCTTAACAGAACCAAGACTCCAAAGACAGCTGTTCTGGAATTGAGGTGAAAAAGGCAGGAAGGTACCTGCCCATCTTTTATGAATTCAAGCCCTAAACCACAGGGGTCCGACTGCTGCCCACCCAAGAACTCCTAATGTGCCCTACCTATCTTACTCCTCTTGGGCTCCTTGAAACCTAACCTGCAGCTCCAGAAACACTGTCTGGCTGGTGCCTCAGCCATTCTGAACCCCTCAGTCAGCGACTGAATACTGGGCAAGATACCAACAGATGGTTTACTTTCAATGATATGAGCAACATGTCTTTCAAGCTGCTGCTGAATCACTTATCAAGGTATGAATCCTTACTGAGTGTGTCTATGTAAAATTTGCCCCCAATCCTTCAGAATCAACCTTGTTTCCCAGGCCATTAACAGCTGACTTGTGAAGAGCAGATGCAGAACTGCATCAACAAAATAGCCCTCCTGAAAGATTTGGTGGATAATTCCAAGGCATGCTGAGAATCAATCATACTATGATACCATTTCTGTAATGTAAAAATATGTATCACTCTAAGTCCAAAGACATACATATAGGAATAGATCTAGAGAATAGTGATAAAACTATTAAATACTAATTGAGGTCATCCCTACATGTTGGGATTTGGGCACGGATCCCCCCTCTTTTTCTAATAAGTGTTTATAAAACTCTTCAGAAAACAAAGCGTATAACTAGCGTCATGTTTTTAAGGTGGGGGAAGCAGTTCTTCCCTCTAGAAGCTTCCCCCTAGAAGCTTGGCTGTTACTGGGTAGAAGTCTCCAAGACCATCTCAGAATCACAAGCAATCCTTGCTTTACCTGAGAACACAGAGTTGTAAAAATAACTTTTTGCAAGGAGATCTTAATCAATGGGGAAAACCACAATTATATGACTTTTTAAAAAAAAAAAGATTTTATTTATTTATTGACACAGAGAGAGAGAGATCACAAGTAGGCAGAGAGGCAGGTAGAGGGAGAGGTGGAAGCAGGCTCCCTACTTAGCAGAGAACCTGATGCAGGTTCCCAGGACACTGAGATCATGACCTGAGCCAAAGGCAGGGGCTTAATCAACTGAGCCACCCAGGTGCCCCTATTCTGTGACTTTCTTAAATGTCTGTAAAAACATTAAGAATTCTCTTACTGCTACAATATATAAGGAAATGAAAAAACAGTAAAACTATTTAGTTTACTATAATTTAGAATATTAGACACATTGAAATATAAAATATTTTCTTTGTGAAAAACTTATCAAGAGTAGTTTGAACACTGCTTGCCTTCTTCTTCTCTGTATAGGTATATAACTTACAATATGGAGTGAGCATGTTTTCTGTTCCTTGGCAAACTGTGATACTCCTTTCTAAGCATCTACCATTTTAACCTCTGTGTCTAGATGCTACAAAATACCTCTAAGGCCTCCTTCAATGGGAAGTTTTCTCTGGTGTCACTCCCTTTGGGACATCTTCATCCTTCTCATCACACTTTCATAACTTACATCAGTAAGTTCACCCTCACTAAGTTTCTCTGGCTGCATAGGTAGAATCTCAAGAACAGCAGTGGCATCAACATTATTTACTAAATTGTGGTAACTGGAATTTGTGCGTGTTGAAGCCATGCAAGGCAGAGACTGCCCATGCATGCAAATTAGATGCGAAATCATCTCAGGAGTTATGTTCCATCTATGGTTTGGCCACCATACCCTACCCCTGCCAGTTCCAGACCAAAAAAATAAATGGAGGATTCTGTTCTGGAAGAGACTCAGACCACTTGGAACTAGAAAAAACATCAGAGATCATTTAATCTAGTGCCCTCATTTTATACATAGGGTGCTGAAAATCACCCAGAGATGTGAAGTCATATGCCCAGCACCTAAATTGATTTCGGAATTCAAAGGAAAGAAGAAAGTAAAGCAAAACAAAACAAAACACTCAGCCTCCAAATTCCTCCTTCCCACATCATGGTATCACTTTACTGAAGCAAAAAACTGTTCTTGGACTGAGATCATCCTTCTGAATGTGCTTGGTCATGAATATGCTTTTGTCATGGGGTGAGCTTGGGCAGTCAAGAAATCAACACTGCCTCAAACTCTGCCAAAACAGGGTTGACCACACAATCTGAAACAGAATCCTGACACCTCCACACGAGATGACCAGAAATATTTTGACTACTCTCCAAAAGTCTTTAAATAGTTTCTTTGTTTAATTTTATAGTTAAGGAACAGATATAAATCAGGTTTTTTTCTTGTTGGGCATATGTGTTTGTGTGTTGCAATTTGAACTTCATCACATCAGAAAGAAAAAGAATTCAGAGTTCGGAGAAATAAAAAGGGCAGAATATTTGAGTCCTATTCTATGCTGCATCTCTCCTGAGGCATATGACTGTCTATGGCTGAAACCCTAATGCAAAATGCAGCCACCATCATTAAGAAACACAGTACAGGATGTGATCATTTAAACTTCTGTTTCAACAGACAAGGATAATATACATAAGATACCACACAGAGCATCAAATAAATGCACAATATTTGATATTTGTATGTAGTGCTTCTGTTCACACAGTGTTTGTATATATCAATTCTCATTTAATTTTCACAGGAACCCTGTGAGGTAGCCAGACAAAGCGCCCATTTATAGAGGAGTCTGTAGACCAGAGGGGGCAATGGACTTGAGACCACACATCCAGACAAAAACGCAGGTCATCTCCCTGCTACTCTCATGTTGCTCCCACCCGAGTGCAACATCTGAGAGCGCACACAAGCTATATGTATCAAAAACGTGATTTAATTCATAGCATAATAAAGCATGGCATCAGATACTCATTAATAAGGGGCGTTATCAAAATAACACAAACCAATTATGCCAGGATATCTCTGATCAAAACTGGGGAACTAGCTAATGTGTCATGAATTCTTTAGTCTTCCTAGACACGAAGCCACATTTTTTTTTTAAATTTTATAACAGTAAACACTTTACCAGCTCATCTTTAACTTCCTAGTCATCTTAGTTAAACCTACTATTTAAGTGCCTATATTATAGGGGGGGGAGGATTTCCTCCTAGTATTTATTAACCACATGTCAGAATCGTATAGTCCATTACCTAATTCATTTATGCTCTGGGCATGACAAGGTGATTGTGAGCTCCTCATAATTTATGTAGTGGCTCAGGATTCTGGCTCATTCTAAAGTTGTCTCTTGCCTCCCTGATATGTCCCACAATTTCAGGTTTCAATGTACATAACTATTTGGGTTTTTTTCTATTCCATACTCTGACCCTCTCAGTCTCTAAGTGACCTATTCTTTTTTTTATAAGTTGATAATCCAAATTCTTAAATTTTCCTAAATTACTGAAAACACAAAATTCATAGTAGGTGGCCCTACACCATAACTTCCATTCACATTTCCTTTAAAAAAATTAATAAATAAACATTTCCTTTTATAATCTAACCACTCACAAAAAAGGTGTGCTTCATATAAACCATGAAAGCTTCAGTCTACTAATAAATCATTTAGTTTTAAAAGTCCTTCTTTAAGCTTTAAAGTTACCTACTTAACTCCCTGATATAAATCACAGTCAATAAAAGTAGCTAAAGTTACTTAATTTCTTGAAAGTAACATCAGAATATTATTTTTTATATTACTAGGTTAAATTACATCACTCGAAAACTAAAAAGAGCCACTAATCCCAGGGGCACCTGGATGGCTCAGTCCGTTGAGAATCCAGCTCTTGGTACTTGCTCAGGTGGTGATCTCAGGGCTGTGGGATGGAGCCCCACATCAGGCTCTCTGCTCAACAGGGAGTCTGCTAGAGATTCTCTCTCTCCCTCTCCTCTGCCCCTTCCCCACACCCACTCTATTTTTCTCTCTAAAATAATAAATAAATCTTAAAAATAAATAAAAAGGGAAATTAGTCTCAGAAACTCAAGATTTTCTACACTTCAATTTAAACAATTTGCTAATTCTCATTATTTTGGAATAAGCATGGCTCTCCAAGTCTAAAAAAATACTATGAAACACTGTTCTATATTGTTGTAGGAAATGGTAGCAAAGCCTGTTACCTCACCTTTAAATAATAAACCAGAAGTTCATTCAGAGCAGGATCAGCATTCAGATTAACAAGGAAGCATTTATCATCCCCAACTTTAATCCCAGAAGACTGAAGAGATATTCCAAGACTCTCAAGCTGTTTCTGTCGCTCCTGTAAATGTATTAGAAAACTATTACTTCCATAACTATTGATACAGCAAGATATAAAAGGCCATACATTGGAATAATTATTAAATAACTGTATAATTAAAGTATGTTATCTTAGGACCTGGTATTATAGATCACTGCATTTTTTTCTCTTTCCAAACTATATGTTATTTTATCTTGTTAACTACAACTTTATTTTGAGAAATAAAGGCATTACCAATAGCAACCAAATATTCTACTGAGTTCTCAATTTTCACTCTTGAAAATACCTAACATCTTAAATTTGTCTCTCTCATTTAATTCTGTACATCTGAGCAAAGCTGTTTTACCAAACGTAATCTTTCCATAAGGCCAAATTTTTAATACACTCTCTTGCGAGACAGCCGCGGTGAATTCCCAGCCAGGATAAAAGCCAACTCCCTCAACAAAGTCCATAGGCCCTTGATCTGGCCCGTTTCCTTTCCATCTTCATGTCTTACCATTCCTACTCTCAAAGGCTTATATACTCTCAAAGAGTTATATGGAACTCTTCCAGATTCCCGAAAGGATCAAGAATGCGCTCCCTAGCTGAACAGATTTTACACCTGTCTCTTCTATCTGAAGCATACTTGTTCTCATACTTGGTAACTCATACTTGTTTACTTGATTATTTCTCTATGAAGGCAGGGATCCCATACATCCACTGTGAATTCCTAGCACCTAGCACGGTGCGTCATACACAGTGACGGCTCAAAATGTTAATCTTGTGAATGTATCAAAATAAAAATTGCATATGCATTCAAGTATTATTTTCCTAAGAATATGAACCTTTCTTCTTTGTGCCTACCTGTCTCTGAATCCAAACGATATACAAAGGTATACACAGAGGGGGATATAGACTCCTGCAACCAGTAGTCTAAGATTAAGGTATATGAATAGGGGCAGAGCAGGGGGGTCTTTGACTATACATAAATAGCAAGTGATAATGAGTCACAGCCACCAAAAGCCTTTGATTCTGAGGAAAGACAAGAAAAGCTAAGTCATTTTACTAAGGCCACATAGTAAGTTTGCAGTACAACTGAATTACAGCCTGAGGATTCTGCTATTTTTAGGGATACCGTCCCAAAGTTATCTGACCATGGACCATTTTTCTTCCCAGAAGACTTATTAACAACTGGTGGCTATACCACCAGAAATGCATTTTGGGAAATGCTAGTCTCTTCTGCAAAAAGGTCAGTGACCAACAGACCAGGTCTTTTTCCATGAGAGAGGAGAAGCAAGGTCAGCAGCAGAAAGCCTGGAGGCTTGCAAAGATAAGGTGTTAAATGAAGTGTTGGATAAAATCAGGCACCCTCCTCAAAAGGGATGTCGGATGGAGAAGAGAACAGTTAAGTAAGGAAAGATGCTAATGATAACAATTTACCAGCATTAGCAACGCAATTTCACTTAGACCTACCCTGCCTTCCATCAGCAAAGCAATGCAAATACAATACCATTTCAAAGTCAATGTTTACTTTTGGAGTAGCTCAAAAAGGCTCACACAAATTAGTTTTAAGTTGGGTAATTATTAGACTGACTTATAATTTATGAAAAACAAAAAGTGAGTATAAAATGAGAAATAAAGTTCATACACTGGACTATTCTCTTCTCTGTAATTTGAAGGATATGCATTAAAATAACTCAGTGTTGGGAAACAGATAAGACCAGATGGTCATATGTTGATCTCAGTGAAACTGGATGATGCCACAAGTGGATCCATTATACTCTTCTCCTGTTTTTATCTATTTTGGAAATGATGATAATAAAAAACATGTAAAAATTAGTCTGCGCTAATAAAACATCCACTTTATGCTACATAATAGTAGTACCATCCTACAATATCTGATATACACATTGATTCTGGGCAGCACATTTAAAGATGGAACCTGCTGGGTGACAAAAGTAGCAAGTTCTGTGTATTTACTAATATGAGGAAGAGTTGAAAACACTAGAGATTTTTAACTTTAGAAAAGGAGGGGGAAAAGACAGAGGTTACCTTAAATATCTGGGTAATGACTGTCCCTGTCTTGTAGGACTGTTGGGGGGCTTAAATAAAATACTCTATTTAAAAGTACTTAGCATAGGGCCCAACACAGTGTACGTAATACATATTTGCTATTATTACTCTCACTTACTGTATGTATGTGGGACACCCATTCTCTTAGGTTTGAAGAACAAACTAAGGACCATGAATGGAAATGAAAGAATAAAAGATTCTGATTAAATAGCTACTATTGGAGTCATCAGAGCTGTCCAATCATGATAAGATTGCTTGACAGGGCACTGGCCTCCACATTACCATGTATATTCCTAAAACAGAGACTGAATACCTACCTAAAAAGAATGTCATGGAGCAAGTCTTTTACTAAGTAGACAACTGGACATTTAGGATTCTTTCCAAATGCTAAGGTTCCCTAAAATTGCACAACTCTACCTCTATTAAGTATTTTAAACACAATAGATAGCTCAGATTTAGGTATTTCATATTACTTTTATTAAGTTGTCATAATAAAGCCAAAGGCTTATAACCGAGTATCTGAAACTAATAATGTTGTAATATGGTTAAGTTCCTTAGGACTGCAAAGCACTTAATAGAATTGGGGGTTTAGAGTCAGAGACTACAAAGTAGCTACTTCATTTAAAAAATGTTTATGTCTCTAAGTATATTTCTTACATAATGAACTACTAATTATAATTATGTCTTCTTTAGCCTTTAAATTAACTTTGTGAAATAGACTCTTGGATCTAGTTTCTTATTACTGGTGCTAGATTTGCCATCTTCAAAGCTAAAAATCAAAAAAGGAACCAGAAACGCCGTAAGTTGCATTGCACAAACTGCCACAAGCTTTCTCTTGCTTTAATTAGGAAACACGAACCTGTGCAATCTCCTCAGTTTTCCTCAGTTTCTCCTCCCAGGTCACAGTCATTTCCTGGATTAGCTTCTCTGATTCTTCTAGTCGGTCTTTTAGTTCTGGAGATTTCATTGCCTATAAGAAAATGTTTATTTCATGAAATATCTGTACCATGCCCTGAAGAAAGCATTAACTAAATCCAAAAGGATAATAGTAACAATCTGGCTGCTCTCAGCTCTATAATTCACCGAGCTCTCTGATCTACCTAAGCCAGAACGATGAATGTGACTGACACACAGCAACCAGACTCTATGCATCCCACAAGCTCACTCAGTTACCCAAGGTGGGCTTGAAAGGAAGACTCACCTGTGTTCTTCCAATCTACTGTCACTGTGAAGATCTAGTTACATTTATTCTTTTTAAGATTTATTTATTTATTTATTTGACAGCGAGAGGGGACACAAGCAGGGGGAGTGCGAGAGGGAGAAGCAGGTTTCCCAATGAATAGGGAGCCTGATGCAGGGCTCTATCCCAGGACCCCGGAATCATGACCTGAGCTGAAATCAGATGCTTAATGACTGAGCCACCCAGGCACCCCAAGATCTAATTACATTTAGAGAGACAGAACATTTAAGCTCTCAATGGCTTATTTTTAAATCCCAATAGGTCCGTGTATTTAGACTCATACATGGGATTCATTCTAGTCTCTACTCATGACTTCAGCTATTGATTCAAGTACATACACATGAAATCTGCACATGTTGTAAACTGAACAGTGGTATTAATACCAGGAAGATGGAAACAAAATTTCAAAGAATCCTGATGAACTGTAAAATTATCCCTGTAAAAAAAAAGATAAATTTCAAAGGGCAAAAATATGACCAACACAATTGTTTTGACCATGTATTTTACCAACTTACTACCAGCAAACAGGTTATAAAAAAGAAAAGGGCTATGGTCCCAATCCCAGGAAAGAGTCCCACAGGGCTGATCATGGGAATAGAATACTAATTAAAATAGAGATCCTGAATCTGGTATTTTATTTCACCTTTGAAAAAGGATCATGACCCGAGCCGAAGGCAGAGGCTTTAACCCACTGAGCCACCCAGGCGCCCCGAGGGAGAGAGAATCTTAAGCAGACTCCCCACTGAATGCAGAGCCCAACATGGAGCTCGATCCCATGACCCTGAGCCAAAGCCAAGAGTCCAACACTTAACTGGCTGTGCCACCCAGGCATCCCTAAATAGATGGGTATTTCTCCTATAAAATATTTTTTCTACAAACATAATTAAACCACAACATGGAAAAACTAGATTATTAAGATGTGGAAAAACTCCTTAAGATTTCCATTCTGCCTTCAACCAGTAAACAAATGATACAACAAGTATCTGCTTGAGTCCTCTTCCAGTCAGTCTTTTCTGCACTAAAATTGCATACTTTGTGTATCAAGCATCTCTCTCCCTCTCTCCCTTATTCTTAGTTATACCTCTCCCTTCTTGTCTCCTGCCTATACTGTAGAAACATTTTCTCAATTCCCTTTATTCTCTCTTCCTATTCAATCCTCTCACACCTGTAAAAACTCTATAAATTTCAACTATGACTATCTGTCTTTACTTATTACTCATCTCAAGTTTCCTCTTCCTATAGGAAACTCAAAAATTCTAAGTGGAGTACTTATCACTTACAGATAAGGGGAAGAAAATTCAAATTCTAGATTTTCCTAGACCCACAATGTGTGGCTTGACTGTGCCTTATACCTCTGCTTTGGTTAGCTGCTCTCGGAGCTTTTCTACTTCTTCCCGGAGATCCCGGATAATTCGTGCATTAGGATCCTCATTCACCACAGCATGGTTCACGATGTTCTTGGCTCGATCTGCATACCGCAGAGTTGAAAGGGTTTCATCATAGTTATCAGCTGCTGGACTGACAGTGGCCACCATGGCTGTCTTGCTGTTACCCCCAAGACTGTCCTAGATGAAGAGAGAAATTGAGTAGGATTTTTAAGTTGGAAGAAAACATCATAGAGGAAGTTGAAGTCAGACAGGGTGAGAGAACATACCAAGGTCAGACATATATTAAAGGGCAAAGGTAGGACTACAACAGATATACTGACTCATGCATGTCCCATGCTCGCTCTTCTCTGCTAAGCTACTTTTCCGCAGAAGGGAGATCTGGTTTTTAAGAAAAGACAGGGAAATACAAGGAAGCCTACATTTATTTCAGTTTAATAACAATTGGTTCTAAGCAGGCTACTCAAAAAACAATGATTTCTTAAATGCCTAAAAATCTTCCTTAGAGAAACTAAGAAATCATGATATTTGTTATCTGATCAAAAAGTGATTACCTACAATCTACTCCATAATGCCATGTACTTCCTTAGAGAAACTGAACAATCGTGATATTATTTCTTATCTGATCAAAAAGTGATTACCTACAATCTACCTCATAATGCCATGTACTTGGAATCTCTGTGAAGGTTAAATAATGGCAGAGAAAATGTTGCTGTTACAAGCTATCAAGTACCTTGCAAACTTTTTCAAACATAAGATGTAATTATAGTCTTATAAAATAAAAGATATGTTGAAGGTACCTGATTTTATTCCCTCTGACAGCACTTCAAAAACTAAAAAAACAGGCTTATCTTCTATGCAACCATTTCTTTTTTTTTTTTTTTTATAATTTTATTTTTTATAAACATATATATATATATTTTTTTTTCCCCCAGGGGTACAGGTCTGTGAATCTCCACGTTTACAAACTTCACAGCACTCACCATAGCACATACCCTACCCAATGTCCATAACCCCCCCAACCCCCCTCTGCCCAGCAACCCTCAGTTTGTTTTGTGAGATTAAGAGTCACTTATGGTTTGTCTCCCTCCCAATCCCAACTTGTTTCATTTACTCTTCTCCTACCACATTAACCCCCCATGTTGCATCTCCTCTCCCTCATATCAGGGAGATCATATGATAGTTGTCTTTCTCCGATTGACTTATTTCGCTAAGCATGATACCCTCTAGTTCCATCCATGTTGTTGCAAATGGCAAGATTTCATTTCTTTTGATGGCTGCATAGTATTCCATTGTATATATATACCACATCTTCTTTATCCATTCGTCTGTTGATGGACATCTAGGTTCTTTCCATAGTTTGGCTATTGTAGACATTGCTGCTATAAACATTCGGGTGCACGTGCCCCTTCGGATCACTACATTTGTATCTTTAGGGTAAATACCCAGCAGTGCAATTGCTGGGTCATAGGGTAGTTCTATTTTCAACATTTTGAGGAACCTCCATGCTGTTTTCCAGAGTGGTTGCACCAGCTTGCATTCCCACCAACAATGTAGGAGGGTTCCCCTCTCTCCGCATCCTCGCCAGCATCTGTCATTTCCGGACTTGTTAATTTTAGCCATTCTGACTGGTGTGAGGTGGTATCTCATTGTGGTTTTGATTTGTATTTCCCTAATGCCGAGTGATATGGAGCACTATGCAACCATTTCTACAGTTCAGGCAAGGGGGCTAAAGAAAAGACACTCATTTTTATTATGCTAACACTGATCGGTCTGGTGAAACAGGCTTTAGAATGGGCGCCAACAAATTCAAAAAACTACTTCCACTTGAGAACATTAAAAAATAACTAAATATAACTCAGAATTACAAAACTAGAAATCAAGTCCACCCTGACTCTGCTTCACCACCCAAAGGCTGTATGTAATCCACCTGCCACAGGCAGCCTCTCAGACAGCCCCTGATGGGCCCTAACCCCTGGTATTCCTACCTCAACCCCTAGCCCCTTCCCTTCAGTGTAGGCAGGACATCTGATTTACCTCTAAGGAACAGAACAGAGCAGAAGCGATAGCATGTCACTTCTGAGATGAGATTCTAAAAAGATCATGGCCTCAGTTACAGGTGTTTTCTCTCACTCTTGGGAAACACTCTCAGGAGGTGAGGTGACCCTATGAAGAGACCTCAGGAGTGAATTTGGAAACAGATCTGAAGCCTGCCAACAACCACATAGGTGAGCAGATGCAACCCAGTCAAACCTTGTACTGACTACCCCGGTAACATTTTGATTGCAGCCACGTGAGACCCCTGCAGGAACCACTTACTTAGACCACACCCAGAATCCTGACCCATAATAAATGGCTGTTGTTTCTAGCTGTTAAGTTTTAGAGATAATCTGTTCCACAGCAATAGATAACTAATAATACACTAACATACCATCCCAAGATGAAAAGAATTAACCAAAAAAAGAGACTCCATACCCTCTTTCAGCAAGAGAATATCACTGAATTATAGATTCTCAAGATAGAGAAAAGACTCAAACAAGGCAATATGGGGAACCACAGGTTGTAAGAAAGCCAACTCTACTTTGGGCAGCATTAACAGATATAAAATTCTTACTTCTGAAGATACAAAGTTTTTCCAATATCAACATATCTAAAATTTGTCTGTGCAATCTGTGATTTACACCATGTCAGGACAGATTTTACCTAGTCTCTCAGTCTTTTGTGAACTGGATTATTTTTCTGATTAAAAAAAAACCCAGAGGTTTGTTCTAAACAAAAAAGGTCAAATATTCTGCCTAAAAATCCAGACCTAGTAAACTAAACAATACTCTTATCCAGTGGTATTCCGCTTTCAAGTCCAATATGACTTCTACTCTCCCAGAGCTACCCACAATTACACAGTAACCAAGTAACACTTGGCAACATAGAGAGCTCAGACCTGGGGAACAAGTAAAGTGGCCAGACAGCTTTCCAAGTTATTCTGTCCTACTGCCAGAGACAAAATAATTCCCTAGGTAATGCTAACAATTCAATACAATCACAGACAATGTGTGTGTGTGATTGACAATGTGACAATCCACTAAAGAAAATTCAGTTTTCCATAGAAAACACAGCTTAATTATACTTCCAAAGGAAATATACTCTAACGCATGAAAAGGAAGGAAGCATACGTAATCTGGGCTCTAGAAGGCAGAAGTGACTCCCGCCAAGTCTGCATGATGGCTTGCTTTCTTCTTTGCTTCCAGACACTGATCTCACACCGTTAATGCCCAGCTTTGGCAACTTCCAAAGGAATGTCAAGATGCACATGAATGAAATTCCAACGTTATATATAAAGATCACAGGAATGACCTCTCCAATTATAGTTCAGTCACTCGCAACACCACGGGGAGTGCTGCCATTCAGGATCTACTGCATTCTGTTAGCCCACGTGAACAGCAAATACTACTGGGTAAAAGGGGATTTCAGACAGTAGCGAACAAGGGGAAAAGGCATGGATACTGTGCTTCAACTTGTGCTGAGAAAAGGAAACCTGGCAAAGGACAAATACTTGATACTTTAAAAGCCCTTGTGCATGAGTAACAATATGCTTATATTCAAAAATGGCCCCATGCCATCAGCAAGAAGGAAACAGCAACAAAAGAACTGGCACTCATTCAAGGAGAAAGTATAAAGCTTCTTGTTACTCTTTAATTGTTTAATTAGGCAAATCAGATGAGCTTTGTTGCAAATGCAGCAACTGCAAATTAAATGGACACAGGAAAGAAACTGAATTCTGGAAGGCAGGATTTTTTAAAGCTGAAAGAACACTTTGAAGTCATCTAACGAAACTACTGCACTTTACAGATGAGAAATTGAGACCCAGGAAGACTGGCAGACTTAACCGAAGGTCATAAACGCTAGTTCAGAGCAGAGCTCAAAGTACTCCTTCACTCAGCTCTTCATAGAGTCCAGCACCTAAAGGGTAACGCTGGTGAGCAAACACTATATGGTAAGAACTAGAGTAGGGATAAACACAGCATGGCCGTAGAAAACACAACGAGCAGAAAGCCTAACCTTGAAAGGTTAGGGACGACTTTCAGGGAAAGTGACATCTGAGACCTAAAGATATTGAATAAGCATCATCCAGATAAAGGCTCGAGGGGAGGGAAGTAAGAGGAGAGACTGAAAAGAGGAGGGAGAATGTTCCAAACAGAGTGAGAGTAAATTCCTAGAAGTTAGAGCACTCATCACGTACCTAGAACTGATCATAGCAAGAACAAGATGAACCATTTTCTAATGCCTAAGAGGGAGGGGTCAAATTACTGAAGGCCTAGTAAATTACAAGTCATGAAAGAATTTGAACTTTATCAAAATGGCCTATAAGAGAGTTATTGAAGAGACTGAAGTTTAAAAAGAGTATTAACTTTAGGATATGATAACTTACTATAAAAAATGGAATAGAAAGCTTGAGGGAGATGTTTCAATCATCCAGGCAAGAGATGGAAGTCACCTTCATTAGATAAGTGGCAGTAATAATGGAAAAAGGTGGATTGAGTCAAAAGATACTCATTATTTGAGCATTTATTACCAGAAATTATTTGACGTTAAGAGGTTCATATTTAGAAGGTTACACTGAGAAGCAGAAAACCTCTTAATAAGAAATGGTTCTCCACTGACCACTTACCAAACGAGTAACCACTCCACCCACCAGGAGAAGAGCTAGAGAGAGTGAGAAGAGCACTCACATCCATCCCCCACCAAATCACCAAGGGCAGTCATTTTCTCTGAATCCCAGATGTTGTAAATATCAAGAGCATAACACAATTATAATGCAAATACAATGCAAAAAACACTTTTAAAAGAAACTGCAAACCTTATAAAGGATGAGCAATTTTATGAGTTCAGTGATAGGCTGGAGTACACTAGAATCATACAAAATCGAACAAGGATCAGGGAGAGTTTGACTAATTTAGAATTAAAGAAGGAGAGAGCAAAAGGAACATAAAAGCCACTTTAAAGGAGAATGATTTGTGTATCAGTGGATTCCAAGAGGTCTTTGGGAAAGTTGTGCAGACATCAGAATAAGTTTTGTAAAAATGCCCCACTTGTGAAGGTGAAATGTTTTTTAAGTAAAAAGTATGATAAAAATCAAGAAAACTTCATTTTTTTAAGCCCAACAATTAACACACAGAGGTTACAATTACAGCTTAATTTTACTAAACAGAAGTTAAAGTGAGTTTTTAAAATGTTCAGTTTTTTTCCTCAGTTCAAGTATTTTCACAAGTTTCTATTAAAATTTGGTTAAGAGTAAAGTGCTTCTCCTTCTAATGCAAAATGTACATTTTGCAAGATGTACAATATATAGCCTAGGCAAGAGAAAATGGGGAGTGAGGTCAGCCCTGATTCCAATCTTGTTTCTGCGACCACTGTCATTTCTGTAAAATGAGAACACTACCATTTGCCTTCTGAGAAGTCAATGAGATCATGCACATGAAGCGCTTTGCATGGTACTTGATTCTCCTGCCTCCAGCCTATGGAATGGATCCTCAAGAATTACCCAGGCAACTTTAAGTCTGTGAATTAATCTGATAAAAGATATTTCCTAGCGTTTGTTTAAATGGACTGAGGTAATAACACTGGAACAACAGAACAGTAAATATTACATCTTTTCAATCAGGCACATGCAGGGAATAATCATGAATGATCAGGAAATATTTCTGTGGGAAGTCTAAGGAAGAAGTAAGTATCTTATCAAAATTCCTTCTGGAAATTAAACAAATGAGATTTCAAAGTTAGTTATTGATATGTGAAGACCAGCACAATTATTTTCTTGGTAGTGAAATGTTTTGTAATACCCCTTAAATCTAAGAGTTACCCACAAGTGGTTTTTAATTATCAAACTTTGCTAATTTATCTTTTTGTTTTAAATTTCTAAATTTTTTTTTTTGCATTTTGGCCAAAGGAAGTACGCTACCTGATTTTCCACTGCGGCCAGTTTCACTTAATAAAGCATGCCCAGGGGCGCCTGGGTGGCTCAGTGGGTTAAAGCCTCTGCCTTTGGCTCAGGTCATGATCCCAGGGTTCTGGGATCGAGCCCCGCATCAGGCTCTCTGCTCAGCGGGAAGCCTGCTTCCCTTCCTCTCTCTCTGCCTGCCTCTCTGTCTACCTGTGATCTCTGTCTGTCAAATAAATAAAATCTTAAAAAATAAATAAATAAATAAATAAAGCATGCCCAAATGGCATGCAGAGTTTTAGAAGTAAAGTTGAACACCAGTAACCCTTTGAGAGAGTAGAAGCTAGGAGAAAACCCAACTTCCTTTACAAACATGTCATGGGCCAAGTCAAAGTTGTGTCACCTTGGAAACAAACTGAGGACTTTGGAGGGGGGATGAGAGGTGGGGTGTGCCTGGTGGTGGGTATTATGAAGGGCACATATTGCATGGAGCACTGGGTGTGGTGCATAAACAATGAATTTTGGAACACTGAAAAAAAAATAAAATAAATTTTAAAGTAAAAAAAAAAGTTGTGTCACCTTGGAAGTATAAATATTGTTATAATGTCTATTTCAGCCAAAGAAATCTACACATTTAATGCAATTCCTATCAAAGTATCAATAGCAGTTTTCACAGAGCTAGAAAAAACAATCTGAAAATTTGTATGGAACCATAAAGGACCCCAAATAGCCAAAGTAATTCTGAAAAACAAAAGCTGAAGGTATCACAATTTTGGATTTCAAGTTATATTACAAAGCTGTACTAATCAAAACAGAATGGTACTGGCACAAAAACAGACATATAGATCAACAGAACAGACTAGAAAGCCCAGAATTAAACCCATAATTATATGGCCAATTAATCTTTGACAAAGCAGAAAAGAATATGCATTGGGAAGAAGAAAGTCTCTTCAAAAAGTAGTGTTGGGAAAACCGAACAGTTACATGCTAAAGAAGGAAACTGGACCACTTTCTTACACCATCCACAAAAATAAATTCAAAATGGATTAAAGACCTAAATGTGTCACCTAAAATCACAAAAAATTCTAGAAGAGAGTATAGGCAGAAATGTCTGTGACATCAGCTCTAACAGCATTTTTCTAGACAAGTCTCCTGAGGCAAGGGAAATAGCAGCAAAAATAAACTATTAGGACTACCTCAGAATAAAAAGCTTCTGCACAGTGAGGGAAACAATCAACAAAGTTTAAAGGCAACCTACTCAATGGGAGAAGATGTTTGCAAATGACTTATCTGATAAAGGGTTAGTATCCAAAATATATAAAGAACTTACACAAATCCACACCAAAAACAAAACAAAACAAAAATCCAATATTAAAAAATGGGCAGACAACAGGAATAGGCATTTCTCCAAAGACATAGAGATGGCCAACAGATACACGAAAAGATGTTCAATATCACTCATCATCACGGAAATACAAATCAAAACTACAATGAGGTATCACCTCACACCTGTTAGAATAGCTAAAATCAAAACCACAAGAAACAAGTGTTGGTAAGCATGTGGAGAAAAAGGAACCCTCTTGCACTGTGGATGGGAATGCAAACTGCTGCACTCTGGAAAACAATATGGAGGTTCCTCAAAAAGTTAAAAATAGGACTACCCAGGGGCTCCTGGGTGGCTCAGTGGGTTAAAGCCTCTGCCTTGCTCGGGTCATGATCCCAGGGTCCTGGAATCGAGCCACACATCAAGCTCTCTGCTCAGCGGGGAGCCTGCTTCCCTTCCTCTCTCTGCCTGCCTCTCTGCCTACTTGTGATCTCTGCCTGTCAAATAAATAAATAAAATCTTAAAAAAAAAACAAAAAACAAAAAACTACCCTACAATCCAGAAATCCCATTGCTGGTATTTACCCCAAAATACAAAAACATTAATTCAAAGGGATATATACACCCCTATGTATATAACAGCATTATTTATAATAGACAAATTACAAAAGCAGCCCAAGTATCCATCAACAGATGAATGGATAAAGAAGATGCAGTATATATACACAATGGGATATTATTTGGTCATAAAAAGGAATGAAATCTTGCCATTTGCAAAGATGTGGATGGAGCTAGAGAGTACAATGCTAAGCAAAATTAGTCAGAGAAAGACAAACACCATATGATCTCATTCATATGTGGAATTTAAGAAACAAAACAAACAAGCAAAGGGGACCAAAAAAAAGGGAAAGAGGGAGACAAATCAAGAAGCCAACTCTTAATTACAGAGAACAAACTCTGATGGTTCCTGGTTGCGGGGGGGGGGCGGTGATGGGTGAAATAAGTGATGGGGATTAAGGAGTGCACTTGTGATGAGCACTGGGTGATATATGAAGTGCTGAATCACTGTATTGTACACCTGAAATTAAATGTAACACTATATGTTAACTATACCGGAATTAAAATAAAATTTAGGAATAGCCAACAAAAAAAAAAAGCTGTGTCTTCTACTAAGCGAACCTGTGCTTAACTCATCTTTATATTCCATATATATGTGGTAGTATATTCACTACCACAGTTGAGTAACAGGTGTTCAGTAAATTCTTGACTGATGAGAGAATAACTCATCACAATACAACACAGGGCTCATAAAATTATTTCTTCATTTAAAAAAAAATAGAAAAGAGAAAGAAGTATTGAGTAAAATATTTTGTTGCAGGTTGGCAACCCTATACAGAGTTAAACTGTCACTGGATTTTCTATCATCTAGCTCCCAGTCCAATATCCAATTCACCACACCACTTCCATAAACTAAAGGGAAATTTGAAGACAAAGAGAGCTGAAAATAGCCTCTCTCTTCACCAAACTCCTATTACATGTCCTTACCATCTCTCTCATGGAATCACTGACTCTTGTTATAACATTTTGTGTACACATCTTATCTGCCCTACCAGACCCTGAGCAATTAGAGGGCAAGGAGGGTCCCACATTTCTTTATGTTCTTGTCATAGCACTTTACAGTTTTTGTTCTTTCTCACTTCCATTTCTCCCAAACATACTAAATCAATTAACAAATGAATGACTGTGTGCTCTATTCTGTATCCTTAAACAACATGAAGAAACTAAAAGTAAAGTGATCATGAGTACTCTTGATGTTAATCAGAAAAACAAGGTCCAAAATGTCAGTCAAACAAAAGGAGTCTGTGAGAAAGACAGAGTAGTCCAGCTGAGTCTATAAGACAGTGGAAATCCTTTCCTATGACTCAATCACTATCAGATTAGCACGAGGTTCCTCTTTTACATCCCAAAATCTCAAAGGCAACTGTGTTGTTCATTGTGCCCCAAATCCCTTTGCTTCCAGGTTCTAGTGAATCAGGTACTTAATCTATTAAATCTATGATTATCCTATGAGAGACTAATGATTTTAAATTTGAACATTGGTAAAAGAAATGATACAGGAGGATTTACAGTCTACTCTTCCTTTCTACCAATCACCAAGAGTAGGCCAGAAAGGGTGGAGGTGGGGAGCTTACTTTGAGCAGCCAAGTGAGAACTGAGTCACGATATGGAACAAATTTATTCTTGTTTTTGCCAGCACTCTGATCTGCTAGAGCTGAGATAACCAGACCAAGGGTTGTGAGGGACCTGCATGGTACAACAAACCAGAATAATCATAAAAAACTAAGAATATCAAATGTCACATTTTAGCACAAAAACTGAACATCAAGATGCCTTGTACCTGTATGAGAATAGCACTGTTGTCAGCATTTTGCTGCTCAGTTTAAAACACATAAATTTTAAAAGCTGATATCCTTCTAACACTACTGCAAGCAATAAAATGGCTTAGCTCAATTATTTTTTTCATTTCTGTAAGTAGCAACATGAGCTGTCAACTTCTAGGTTAAGATAAAGACACAAACACCACATATCTTTAAGAGAAGAAGCCACAAATACAATACAATACATTAAAACTTAGTATAAAGTAAAAACCTTTGCATATATGTATGTGTGTATATGAGGTATCTATGTATAACATTATGTATCTACACACATATCATATATAATATCATTTATACATCTGTATATCACCATTCAATAATATAATAATAGCATAGCATTTGGATGACGATCTTCTATGATCTCCAGTTGGTTACTCTCATTATGCATCTTTCTGGATTCCCACCCACAAGGAGCTAGTAATTCAGCTTGAGGTAGAAAATATAACCATATGCAGGAGTCCGTATACAAAATATTATTTTCTAAAACCCTAGCTTCTTGGTGTAAATGACAGCAGTCATACAAGGGAAAGCCCAATGTGGCTAGGACACAATTTGATGTTGGTTCAGACAGTGACACCCAGGTTGAGATCAACATCAGGGCTGTGACAGACCATTACCTTGGTCTTCTTCTATAGGTCAGACCAGTGGTTCTCAGTTGGAGGGCCACTGTGCCGCCACAGGGAGATGTTGGCAAGGTCCACAGACCTGTTTGGGTTGTCACAACTGGGGGTGGGGGAAGAGAGGTGGCAGGTACTACCACCATCCATCTACAGGGTAAGGGCAGGGATCCCACTAAACATCTTACTAATACACAAGAATAGTCCCTGGAACAAAGAATTAACTCAGCCCCAGATGACAATACAGCTGCTCTTGAGAAACCTCTGATTTGACTGTGCTCCTCAGCCCCACCACACATCTCAACAAAACATAAAATAGGCTCAGGCCCATAAAAAAAAAAAAAAAATTATATTTATATATATATATATATATATATATGAATCTAGATTATATATTTATAAATACATATTTCATATATATAATATATCAAAAAATTCTCCATTATTTATTCATTATAGCTTCAATCATTCCAGCATCTTATTCTTTTAATAACCATAGAAGTTCCACCATTTGGCTCTTAAATCAGTAAAATAATAAAAGTAAGCTTCTGGAAAACTTACTTGTTGATGTTGCTCCCCTCCTTCAACCTGTCCCCTGCAGCCCCGGTTTTCGTTGCTCGCTCACTGCCAGCTAAATCAACCAAGCTCAGCTTGCCCACTTTCTCTCCAGATGTCTAGAAGACAAATCAACAAATACTAATAAACAGTTAAACAACACAGGAAGTCCTACATCTTTACCAAATGAGTGTATTCTCTAAATTCTTTATTAAAACACTATTTACTGTTATGTCAAAATTAGCTTGTGCTGCTATAAAACAGTGTAAGAAAGGGCGCCTGGGTGGCTCAGTTGGTTAAGCATCTGACTCTTGGTTTCAGCTCAGATCATGATCTGGGGGTCCTGGGATCAAGCCCTAAGTCTGGCTTGCACTCGGTGGGGAGTCAGCTTGATTCCCTCTCCCTCTCTGGCCCACTGACTGCTCGCACACACACAGGCATGTACTCTCTCTCTCCCTCTCTCTCTAAAATAAATAAATAAATCTTTTTAAAAAAAACAGTATAATAAAACTGTATAGTCTAGTAGCAGATATATATAAAATTATACCCAACTCTACTAATCCAGATAAGAGTGAAAGTTATCTCAGAATATAGTGCCCCCCAAAATGGTATTCTTTGAAGGGAACCCAATAAAATTTTCTTTTTTTTAAGATTTTACTCATTTATTTGATAGAGAGAAAGGAGGAACACAGAGAGAGAAGACTCCCTGCTGAGCAGAAAGCCTGATGTGGGGCTCAGTCCCTGGACCCCAAGATCATGACCTGAGCTGAAGGCAGATGCTTAACTGACTGAGCCACCTAGGTACCCCCCCATAAAGTTTTCATAGAGAATTATATAAAATAACTTATAAAATATAAAATTTAATATGATATGGAACTGCTCAAAGTATCAAAATATTTACCAATAACCCTGAGAGAAAAATATTTCCGCAATTCTTATTGGTCTTAAAACAGTATTTTACATAATAGGATCTCTCAAAAACTCAACACTTTCTCACATTTTTCATATTATTTATATATAGTAACTCCTTTATTTCATAGTTTCAGGTATTAAATTTACATATTTCTCTAGTTATTATATATATACACATATATATATACTGACATTTTCCTTTATCAAAAATATTCCATAACATAACCACACACATGACAGATATTTTATACTTCAGCAACAATACAAGAAATGTGGGAAAGCAATGCCTAAATGTACAGGCTGGTTCATTTCTTAAAACTTTTCTTTAATATACATATTTATATTCACTTCCATAAATAAACATGTTGCTAACAAAAGGATATTCAGCTTCCCAAATCAAAAGTATTTTTGGTTAAAAAAAAAAAAAGCCTTCAGTATGTTTTTTGTTTTATGCTGAAAAGGAAATAGAAAACAAAGAACTTTTTGTTGTTACACTAATCTTGCTGTGATGGTAAAAAAGAAAAATATGCTTTCAGCAAATGAAAATCTTGCCAAAATATAGCATTTTGCCAGCATGATTATTTTAGCTTCTGGTATTTGAAACTGATTTGCTGAGGGGTAGGCATCATAATAAAATACGCAAATATTCACATAAAAATTAAGAGGAAAAATGAGAAGGTTTCAGTGCAGTAGAAGCATATACATCTCTGGCTCTGTTTACTCTTCATAAGCTTCAAAACCAAACACTCCAAAAGTCATTCTACAAATCTACTGATTTTATGGTACAATTCCCTAGTATAGTTTATTCCTTCTAATACTTAGCTGTTCAGAAAAAGGTAACATTTCCAAACAATATCTACTAAATCAGCTGGAGCTAACATTAGCTTTTACAGCTAGCCATCCAGTTTAAAGCTCAAAAAATGCTATGGTTGAGGCTATGAGGTGTGAGGCATGGTGAGCATGTCCCACCTTCCTTTAGTTGGACAGGGTGGAACTGAAAACTACATTTCTCTGACTTGCTTGCAGCCAGGGTTCAGGATGTGACTTGGGTTCTGCCAAGCAGATAGACTTGCTTCAGATTAGGAAAGCATTAGCAAAGTAGAGGTCATCCCCCTGGCCTGTTTTGGCTTTTTTCTGCTGGCAAGCAAGATCATGGAAATAGGAGGTTTTCTTCAAGTGTCTCAGTTTACATTCTCCAGCTTCCCCTCACTATGAGGCAGCTGCACTAACTCCTGTGTCGCAGACCACAGCTATCACGCAGGCCTGGAGCTCATAGCTCTAGTGGTGGCCTCAGAAGCATTATCATCCTTGGTGAATGAAATGTGCATTGTTATTCCTAGACATTCAGTCTAGAATCCACTCTTCCTCAAGTGTTCTAACAACTCTGTAATCACCCAATCCTTCCATTAAATCCCTTTCTGTTTACCTACAGTGGCTTCTGTGTCTTGCTGAGTCCTAACTAATACTCATGTCTGGCTAGGACTTTACATCACCTAACACCTGAAGGGAATGGAATAGGATAAATCATGATCCACTTTAGAAATATTAAAAAAAAAAAAAAAAAAAAGGTCAAGCATGTGAATACCTACCCCAGACTTCACATCATATAAAGTATGTGTAAGGGTGATTTTGAAGACTGCATGGGATCGACTGCTCTCCTCATTCATGTTGGTAGCCGCAACTGTACGGGATTTGTTACCCTCAGACATCAAAGATTCAATATCCTAAGTAGAAACAAGTCATAGACACATATTTCATTACCTATCAAACAAACATCAAAACTCTGCTATCCTATGAAATGAATTACAAGCTATACTACTCAAGTCAACCACATTTGGAGTTTACAGGTTTACACTTTATTTCTCAATGAACATTAAGCTCCACTGAATATAATAGGCAATACTGTCTCTGAAAACTCAAACAAAACACTTACTTTCTGTAGGTGCTGAATAAAGTAGCAGTTTTGACTGAGAATTAGAAAAGTTTAGAAGCCACATGTGGAGACCCATAAGATGGCCAAATATATCATACCAAACTTCAGCTAATCTAGAAATTTTGAAAAATTTAGTTTCTTTAATAACAGAAGCAATAGAAGACAAGTATTAAATCAGATTATATGAATAAAAAATAAACAAAAATAACTGCAACCCCTTCATGTAAGCATAACACTGTGTTGACACATTAGTGTATATTATACCAGATCTGTTTTTGAAAACAGAATATCAAGGAACTAAATTCCTGCACAGATTTACTACTTCATTGCCATTCTGCTAAAAAGGAGATAGGATAGCATACCTTATGACCCACCAATTGCCCTACTGGGTATTTACCCCAAAGATACAAATGTAGTGGTCCAAAGGGGCACGTGCACCCCAGTGTTTATAGCATCAATGTCCACAATAGCCAAACTATGGAAAGGACCTAGATGTCCATCAGCAGATGAATGGATAAAGAAGATGTGATTAATACACACACACACACACACACACACACACACACACACACACACACAGGAATATTATGCAGCCATCAAAAATGAAATCTTGCCATTTGCAATAATGTGGATGGAACCAGAGGGTATTATGCTAAGCGAAAGAAGTCAATCAGAGAAAGACAATTATTGTATGATCTCATTGATATGAGGAATTTGAGAAACAAGACAGAGGATCATAAGAGAAGGGAGGGAAAAATGAAACAAGAAGAAACCAGAGAGGAAAACAAAACATAAGAGACTCTTAATCTCAGGAAACAAACTGAGGATTGCTGGAGTAGAGTAGGGGGAGGTATGGGGTGGCTGAGTGATGGACATTGGGGAGGGTATGTGCTATGGTGAACACTGTGAATTGTGTAAGACTGATGATTCACAGACGTGTACTCCTGAAACAAATAATATATTATATGCTAATTTTAAAAGAAAAAGAAAAAAAAAGGAGATAGCATGATGCACTTAAAAGATCATGGGATGGGATCTCCATTTTTTAAAATGTCATAAGTTCTAAAAATGGTTACTTAACCAAACTGAATTTTAGTTTCATAAGTAATAATACAGAGCTATAATATAATCTACCTTACAAGGATTTTAATGAGGAATAAGAAAGATAGAGCTGACTACTTGTCTCCTCTTACCCTGTCTCATTTTCTTTCTAGTAAAGGAACCCAAAGCTGAGCACCTTACCTTGCAGTGGAACAGAGACTACATTTCCCAGATGCTGTAGGTCAGTCTGGCCATAGGATTCAGTTTTAGCAAATGAAACACAAGGTCATTTGGGAATTCTCCTTAAAGGGAGTAGGCATGCTCTCACATCTTGGTTCTAAGAGCTAAGATCTTGAACTATGAGAATAAGGGAATTACCACAGAGCCCTATGTGGAGAGCTGGAAGGAATCTAGGTCCCCAAAAGCATCTTTGGAGCCACTGTATCAGCCCTCTGCACATTCAATCCTTCATTCACTCATTTGTTCACTTAAATATATATGAAAGTCACCTACTACATGACAGGCACATTTTGAATTCTGAGAGTGAATAAGGAACAAAACAGATGACAATTCAAAGAACTTAAATTCTATTATATTTTCCTGTTATTTGCAGCCAACACAAACCTAACTGACACACATATATAAAACTTTGAAAGTCATAATTTTCTATTTTGCTGTATCAATGAAAAATAATAATGTTTATGAAAAAAATTCAATATGATAAATAAAAAGCCTCAAAGTAGAAACATTAACTACATGGGGCACCTGGGTGGCTCAGTGGGTTAAAGCCTCTGTCTTCGGCTCAGGTCATGATCCCGGGGTCCTGGGATCGAGCCCCGCATCGGGCTCTCTGCTCAGCGGGGAGCCTGCTTCCCCCTCTCTCTCTGCCTGCCTCTCTGCCTACTTGTGATCTCTGTCTGTAAAATAAATAAATAAAATCTTTAAAAAAAAAAAAACTACGAAAAGAAGTTTAAGCAGGCACCAAAATAGAAAAACCAACACAAAAAAGTAAAATCTATGATTTTTTAGATCCATTCCAAATTCATTTTAGATCTATTAAATCTGACAATCCTGAGACTTAATGTAAAAGCTTCACCTTATTTAGCCTACACTTACTTACTGGCTCCCAATCTGTTGTCTCATGCATAAGCTGTATTGAGCCTTTTAATTTTTTAAACAAGCAGAATTTTCTGTCTCTTTACACTTTCCAATCTCCTCTGAACCTTCAAAAACATCTGATCTCTCTCCAATGTTGTATAAATAAGTTCTCAAATGATCATTATCAAAATAACAATACCTACTAATATTTATATCAAACCCTAGCATTCTCAAAGACTTTTCACATTATCTCATTCGATCTCCACCAGGAAATCTTCCTAGACACCACCGACCCCAGACATCCACACATCCATTTAAGTTAGGTACCCGCTCCTCAAAACTACCATGAATCCTAATCATGTATTTCTCACTGCTCTTAAAATCATGTTGTTTTAGAACACCTTTATAATAACATCTATAAGCATCTTGAGGAAATGGACCATCTCATTCACTTTTTATATCTTCAGCACGTGGCACAAAGTCTGGCACATGACAAGTGTTCAATACGTGATTATCAAAAGAAGTACTTAAAATTTATTAAGTGAAGTATCATGGACCAAATGGTAGAAAGGACTAATGAACAAAAAAACAAATGGACCTACCTCACAAGATAGTCAAGAAAATAAAACTAATTTCCATTTTAAAAATGAGGACAAAGAGGATTAGTGAGGTAGGTGATCTGAGTCATACAAGAGTCACATACAAGAGGATTAAGTGTCACCAGATCAACATTCTCTGACTCTTAAGTCAATGTACATTACATCACAGCATCTCACTCCACCCCTATTTTCCTATCTTGCAAAGGCTGACGGATCCACACAAAGAAGAAGTTTGAAAATGAGAATAAAAGGCCAATGAGTGATCCTCTCAAATCAGAAACAGACTTTGAATTCCAAATACCCAATTCATGTTTTATTTAATGAAATCATAGGCAACTTCATTATCTTATGCACTACTAGGGAAGAAAAATGCTGCTGTATATTATTTTAAGACGCAATTATAAGGATTATCACAATTTTAGAGCTCATAAAATATTAAAGTTAAGGTGTATTTCACAATAGATGAATAGGGATGTTTGCAAATGTGTACACCCTCTCTCAAAATTAAACTGTCCTAATAGCCATATATGGCTTTTTAAGAAAGATCTTTGCAAAAAGTAGCTTAATAAGTAATGCTACTGTTAACTTTTTTTATTTCAAGAAAAATAATCATCAGAAATTAAACAAGAAATAATCTGCTACAGTGAATTTCAGCAGTGTATAGAAAGGAGGCCATTACCTTGTAGCTTGTGACAGCCAGTTTGGAAAGTCCATCGACATAGGGTCCCAAAACATTGTGCTCTCTGACTTTTAACGTTTGACGACTTCTGCCATTAAAAAAGAAAAAAAGAATTTTAAAATAATAACCTGCTTTTAAAGTGATTCAATTGTGCTCCATAAAAATATACACTGAATTCAACAAAGACCCCAGGTAAAGAGAACCAACTTACTTGATCTAAGAAGAATATAAACCAAACTTTAAAATCTTGACTGGTACGAAAAACTTCATAATGTGGTAAAATATCACATCACTCAAAAGGGTACACTGTGGGATGTCTATTTACTACCACAAAGAATGCGGACTCTAGATACAAACATCTACTTGTCATTTCACAGAATGTGGTACAAAGAACAGAAACTCAATAAATGTTAACTGTGCAAGAAAGAAAACTCAAGACCAATCTGAATCATGAATAAAGACAAACAACAGATTGAATTTAATAATGACTTAAAAATATAACATTAGGCTGATCCCAGGGCTACTGGGTTGTTTTAATATGGGATAAAGATTCATGCCCTTTACCACGCTAGACTAATAGATTAAGTAGATGGGGTAAAAAAAACACATTATCATTTCAATAAGTGCAGTGAAAAGAATTCAACAAATTTACTTATTCATGATTAAAAAACAAATAGATACCACTTACAAAGAAGGAACTAATAAACTCAGTGAGGGGCCCCTGCCAAAAACCCAAGACATACAGCATACTTAATTATATCAACCAAAAAACATTAAGAATATTCCTTGTTGATTATATGGTAAATGAATTCTATCTCAAAAAAGCTCTGTAAAAAATATAAACATTACAATAAAAAAAGAATATTTGTTGACAGTGAGATTGCAAGTGATTCCTATTTATGAACTTATTTTCTAATGATTTGAAATCCTCTACTACCCTAGGATCAGCTACCAAAAACTTCACCTATTACTATAAAACTGTACAGGAAATAAATATAGAACAAATATTTGACATAGGTCTGATCTCAGGACATACTATATATCATAGCCTTTTCCTTTCATTTTTCCTATTCTCTTAAGAAGATACTGAATTCATAAAATCAGTACTTGATATAAAAAAACTAAGTTCTCTTGGGGCACTGGGTGGCTCAGTCGGTTAAGCATCCGACTCTTGATTTCGGCTCAGGTCATGATCTCAAGGTTGTGAGATTGAGCCCCATGTTGGGGCTCCAATTTATTAAATAAATTAATAAATAAGTCTTAAAAACAACAACAACTAAGTTTTCTCAGATAGTCTCCCTAAGAAGGGATTGCCCTTAGAGCTTTTAATCCATTCACTTCGACTCTTCAGAAACAATGCAAAAGTCCTCAACAAACTTTCATGGTGGAGGCAGAAGTAGCAGCTAGCCCCCACGGTACACTTACTAAGTAAATGTTCTAAGACCTCAGGCATATCCCAGCCAATCTCCACAGCAGCCCTTTGTGATATTATATAACAGTATTATCCCCTCAGTACAAATGAGGCCTAGAAAACATAAGAAACTTGCTCAATAGGTACCAATTAGAGGACCTGGATGCAGAGCTACATGGAGCCCAAGCTCATGCTGTTAATTACTAACAATACACAAGACAAACATAAGAAATTACTGAAGACTCCAACCACATTGTAGATAAAGTTCAAGTGATTCCACACAAGCACCGTGGAATACAAAACAGGGGGATGAAGTCCGCTAAGCATTTCTAGCTGGGATCTCAAGAAAAGTGATGCTCTTCATAGAGAGGAAGGTGCAAGGGCAAGAATTCAGGGCAGAGTTGGGAAAAATACAAGCACACAATATTCAGCAAGATGTGGGTACCTAGGCTATAACCTTCCTACCTCTGGCCTCCTTTTGTTTCCTGCTTTGACTTTCATGCTTGGTGCCCTCCAGCCACACTGGACAGTGGGGTCACTCTCCAAGCAAGTAATTTCTTATACCTCTGTGCTCTAGCACAGGCTGTCCCCTATGCCTGCATGGTTCTCACCAAACTTCTCAGTGGAAAAACTACTACTTGGAACAGAAATCATCAAGCACCTTCTGTGGAATCTTCTCTTCTCCTCATTCCCTTTGCTTTCTATTTTGTGTAAGCCCCTTACACAATTTAAAAACATTATTGCATTGTTTATAATTATTTGTTTCCAAAACTCTCATTCTGTCCACACTGGGAGATCTTCCTTTCCATCTTGCATAGTGCTCTGCATGTAATAATGATCATTCAACAAATGTTAAGTTTTACAGAGAAACACTTAAGTGCCAATTCAATGTCACTGGGAAAGGCCCAAAGATCATCATCTTTGTCAAAGAAAACAGATGCCAGTGAGAGGCTGACATGTTTTCTTGACCGAGCATTACTACAATGCACTGCTTCTAAGAGCACCTTTCTTTGATCAACTTCTTCATCCAAACATAACTAAATGTCCCCTGGTAACTCCGCATTTTCTTTAACCTCAGCTCACTTGACCTCTGACCTTACAGACACTATTCTTACATCTATTAAGCCACAGGCGTTATTATGGGTTTCTTTCTCATCATGGTTGCACTTCCTTAAAATCTGACTCAGAAACTCTGTGCAATGGATAGATTTCCTCAGCTATGTCCTTCCTTATTAGGTTCAGTTATGACGGAAGAGTGAGAACAGCATTTTCTTAGGCTTTCTAATACTTTTGAACCACTTCGCTTTCAAAGTCTATGCCATCAAAGGGGACACTCTTTTTCTCTGGGAATTTTTAAAATTAACTATCCTAAAGTTCAGGTTTTAAATCTCTGATTATGCTTCTCCCTAACTTCATAGCCTACAAAGAAAAAACAGTTAAATTCTGCCTGAAATTTCTTGGTCTTGCTTTTTAAAAAGAAAGAAAGAAAAAAAAAAAAAAACCCTGCTTGATTAAGGATACCAGTCTGATATTAAGTCACTTAATTTTCCTTGCATATTTTTTGTTTGTGGTTTTGGATATATCTGAGAAGGCAGTATGAGCCAGATACAGGTGCATTCGACAATACTTCCCTGCCCCAACTCAGCCTTAAACGCAAAAGCCAGAACTGGCTTCAGGAAGCTGCTCAGTGTGACTAAAAACAAAGTCACAAGGACAATAACTAGATAAACAGATAAAAGCACAAAGACAATCACTAGATAAATAACTCTCTACCGGAGTTCAATATAAAAAATTTCACTTGAGTCAATTTCTAAGTGTGTATTAGTCCACAATGCTGTAACATTAGAGTTTCCAAAGTCCTTTACCCTTTGGGATCAAGAAGGTCTCTAACTTTTTCATTATAAATTTCCATATAGGACACTTCTACTTTAAAACTCTGCTCTTCATTTTCCTCTTTCTGAGTTCGTTCAAAGAGTCCACTACAAAGTCTTGGAATTAATCCAGGTTGGTCAGCTGTGCCCATCATGGTATAAGATTTTCCAGATCCTAAAAAGTGGAAATCATAGTTATTACTGTGTCTGAGAAGTTTAAATACATAACCCTCTTTCCATTGCTCATAAGCACTTAGCAAAATGCCCAAAAGAAAATAAAAAATATACCCAAATAAAATGGCGAGACTACTGAATACAGAAGCTTTCCTATTACACATGTAAAATCTAAAGTAAACATCTTTTAGGAAGAGAATAAAAACATTCTTTAACCATCTTTACACTTAAAAAAAAAAAAAAGTACCTAAAACAACCAAAAAAACAGTGAGGTCTGAGCAGCTTTCTAAAATTAACTGGGAAGATCCATATGATGAATACTATTGTGACTGTTCCCAACCACTAATCATAGCACAAAAAATACGCATTATCCCTATAGGCCCCAGAGCAAAGTCACTTACTACCCTCTGGCTACAGGGTAGAAACCAAAGAGTAATCTTCTTTTTCTACTATAAAATTATTTTCTCCGTTGTACCAAAAATATGTATTCATTAAAGAAAAGTCAGAACACACAGGTAAATAGAAAGGAAAACATTAAATCATGTATACTCCAACTTAAGAACTCTTTTTCCTTCTTTAGGAGCAATGCTTTTATAAAGATATTTTTAATCATACAAATTGCTGCTTTTATCACTTGATGCTTTATGAATGCCTAATAACTAAAACCAAAACACCACTTCTCAAGGACTAGGACTTTTCTATGAGTTTTTGATGTTAACTCATTGTGACAACCCTATAGGGAAGGCCTATATTCACCAACGTTTTATAGGTAAGGAAACTGACATGTAAGTTTCACAGGAGCTGGGCTGGAGACGGCCTACCCTGGCTCAGAATCCATGCTCTTTTAACCACATCACATACTGCCTCTTAAAAATTATCAGAAGCATTCTTCCATAAAGAATAGTTTTCAACTGGAGAAGCTATACAATAGTTTTCAATTGGAGAAGCTATAGGATATACCCTTATAAAAGTGACTCCTTCACTTTAAATAGATTTTCTTCCCTGGGAACCACAGAGGTACAGAAGTCAAATGCACCTTATCAACTATAACTGATAAGATGCTAACAATATGTATTCCCTTTGTTATTTTCTCTGTTATATTCTTTAAAGCTTAAATATATATATTTAATATTATATATATTTAATAAAAAATATATTATTATTTAACATTACCAGTCTGTCCATAGGCAAAGATACATGCATTGTAACCATCAAAAGCATTCTGAAGGATATTCTCCCCAAGGCACTTGAAAACATCATCTTGACCTAAAAGAGACAGAGAGAAAAAGAATGAGAAAGGGTATTTTTCTGATGTGTATTAAGGAGGGTACTTGTGGTGATGAGCACTATGTGTTACATGCAGCTAATGAATCACTGAACACTACATCAAAAAATAATGATGTACTATATGCTGGCTAATGGAACATAATAAAAAAATAAATAAAATTTTAAAATAAATGAAATAAATAAATGAATAAAAATTTAATTAATTAATTAACTAAGAAAAAATAAAGGGTATTTTAAGCCAAAACTACATATGTAAAATTTTTTGGAAAACTAAAAACAACCCCCTTAAAGATGCACTTTTTCAAACTATCTCCAAACAAGATTTTTAGACTTGATGAATACTTGTAAAAGCTAATGGCTTTCAAGTATTTCTAGTTAGCACATGATAGGAAATGAGTAAAAAGTTCCTGATAATATGAACTTGAATTAATAAACACTGGACAAAAATTCTCTGCAAAGCAAAAAGCTAATGAACCGCTGATTTTATAAACAATGACTATAAATACCCAAAATTTATACTAGGGACCTCCATGCACCTGAATTCAACTATATACCACCAGCTAATGTTTTATTCAGTGGGTACTAGAATTCAAAACAACCATACATATCAATTTCCTCTCCTTTTCCTCAATGGTAATTTTTAATTATAGAGCCTACAATACACACCAGCTAGAGGAGGGAAGAATATCTTGAAAATGTTTTCTGGCTTCCAATCATGAACGAAAATAATAGGTTGAAATTCTCCTCTACAGGCTGAATTAAATATGTTAATAACTGAAGTTATTCAACCTCTCTTTGAGTCTTGAATAAAACACGAAAGAACTGGATGTTGTTATGTTTGTTATACTTTGAATGCTATTAATAACATTCCATTATGCCCCACTTCCTAGTTAATTTCCCAGATGAGTATATCATCATCTTACTTCCGATATAGAAGGAATCCGTAAGCAATCCATCAGGCCAGCTAGAGCAAATTAACTTTAACTTTCTGAACGAGCTGTAGTACTACTCTGTCTCATGACAAAAGCCAATTCAATATGACCCTCAATATTTAAAAGGTATTGCTTAGAAACAGGTGTCACACGCAGTTAGGAATAAAGCAAATTAAAAGGCTGTCCCTGTAGTCCTAAATTTGTGGTGTAAAGAAGCTTGAGACAGTGTTGCTGAGGAGGGTAAGAGAATAACAGAATTCCAAGCAGGCAGAAGCAGAGCCTAGACTAAACTGTAAGTTTCCTTTTCCCCTTGCTCAACTTTCCTATACCAAGCTGCCTCTGTAGACCACATCACAGACATCTAAGGGAGTCAAAGTGGCTAGTGTGTGCTCCATGTCCCATGTAAGGTCTGGGAATGTGTTCGATAACCTGTGTACCCTATTAATTTACCTTTACTGTTTTATAACAAGAAGCGCACACTGTCAATCTCCAATTTCCCCAACAATGTAAAAACAGCAGAGGCAGGAGGAAATTCTCAATACAGGTCTTATCGTTACACAAATAATGCTGTAATACTTTGTGGGAAAAAATTAAAACACCTTTAGTTAATAGGATTCTGTACTTACCTGCATATTTTTCTCTGACTGATTCATCCATAGACCAGAAACAGTGATCATATGCAAACACCTGTTGAAAAATAAAATATGGTATATACTAAGAACAAAACCTCAACATACTTATAATAAACAGTGCTATAACACTGATAACACTGTTCACAGTAGTGAAATAAAAATACCTTACTGTCTTAACAATGGAGGTTAGTTGAATTATTTATGGTACAGTTTTACAATGAACAACTAAGCATCCTATAAATGATACCAACCTTTATTTCACGTGGAAAACTCTTCACAATGTTAGGTGAAAAAAGGGGAGGTTACAAAACAGTATTTATAATATGATGGCTATCATATACACATATACATGCAAATACATACATAGTTACACATAGAAAGTTTCTTTCTGCATGATAAGATTAGTGATCTTTGTCTTCTTTGTTTCTATGGATTCTCTACATTTTTACTTTTCTCGGAGAAAATGAAGATTTTTTAAAAGAATAAAATGTAAAGATGATTACTATGGCATGGTAAAAGTAGTTATAAAATAGCAGATTCAAAAAATCACAACACACCCACATGCAATATTGCACAGTTTTAAGACTGCAGAACACTGGTAAGAAAATGTTCCATAATATTGGAAAAGATATGAAAGTCTGGACCATGATCCCATGTTTGTACCAAAATCTATACAGATAAAAAGTAGTTAAGAATACACATTGGAAAATGGTTAGTGGTTAATACCACCTGGTGGGACATCACAGATGATCTCTGTTTGGATCTTTTACATTTACTACTTTCCAAAATATGTATGCTTGGTTGTGGGTTTTTTTTTTGGGGGGGCACTCTTTTAAGTTTTTTTCATTGAATTTTCTTTTTTTGGATTTCATATTTACAATTAAGTCTCAAAGGATTTTAAGTGTAATTGTGTGTGTGTTTTTTTTTAGGGGCACCTGGGTGGATCAGTGGGTTAAGTCTCTGCCTTTAGCTCAGGTCATGATCTCAGGGTCCTGGGATCGAGCCCCGCAGGGAGCCTGCTTCCCCCTCTCTCTCTGCCTGTCTCTCTGCCTACTTGTGATCTCTGTCTGTCAAATAAATAAATAAAATCTTTGGAAAAAAAAAATAAAAAGTAAAGCCTTTTTTTTTTTTTTTTTTTAATTTGAGAGAGAGCGAGCTTGCACAAGTGGGGACCAGGGGCAGAGGAAGAGGGACGGGGACAAGCAGACTCCCTGCTGTCTGCAGAGCCCAAGGCAGTGCTCCATCCCAGGACCCTGAGATCATGACCTGAGGCAAAGGCAGATGCTTAACTGACTGAGCCACCCTGGCGCCCCAAGTGTAAGTGTTTTTAAAATCATTTAAGCTTGTAATTCAAACTCTCCAATTTTTGGAGTCTGTTGTCTCTCTTCCGGTTGACAGTTTTCCTCTTGGGCCCTTGTATGTTAGTTTGCAAGCTCATCTGAATTGGGAGTTTGTGTTTTGTGGTTTACGTGGTTGCTTGTTTTTTTCCTCTCCCTCTGGCCACCTTTACACTGCCACTCCTAGCTGCCAAAGCCCAGATTTTGGTCCTCCCAAAGCCCAACGTCTCCAAGCCCTCTGATTTACACAGCTAGCTCAGTGTTGGTGGCCAGAACCCTTTCCTTAAGCCTTCATTCATGTTGGAGCCTCACTCAAATCAGTTTTCACACGGTGAGTTCTCCAGTCCTCACCCATACATCAGGCCCCCCTCTAATCTGCAAGAGAAGAACTTCTATCACCTCCAAGAACCTGCCTCTGATCCCAAGACCCAGTAAATACTTGGCTTCAGCCCCAGCTTGCTGCTAGTCCCTGAAGTTACATTATGTTGTTTTTTAATATGATGACATGATTTTAGTATTTTAAAAATATTTTCTCTGGGGTGCCTGGGTGGCTCAGTGGGTTAAGCTGCTGCCTTCGGCTCAGGTCATGATCTCAGGGTCCTGGGACTGAGCCCCACATCAGGCTCTTTGCTCAGCAGGGAGCCTGCTTCTCTCTCTCTCTCTCTGCCTACTTGTGATCTTTCTCTGTCAAATAAATAAATAAAATCTTTAAAAAAATATTTTCTCTGTCTCTGTTGAGTTTGGAGTTGGCAGGAGATTGCATCTGTCTGAACTCACAAGGCTACCTGGACCAAAGGTCTAAAAGTTAATTTTTTAAAGAAAGGAGATTAGATTAAGGTGGTATATTAAGTGTGCATGCCTATATCCCGCGGCTACCTGAAATTAGCTCAAAATGATGCAGGGAGAGATGAAGGGAAAGGGCCAAAAGGAGGAAGAAGAGGGGAAAGGACAATTAAGTTTTTGAAAGCTAGACTGCTTGCTTTACCTACAGAGAAATTGAGACTCCCTAAAAAATAGTTGCAGTGAGACCGATGAGGGATAGGACAGGGTGGAGTGGGGGCCACATGGAGACCACAGGCCAAAACACTACAGAAGAAGATGCCTCCAAAGGCGAGACCAGTTCTGGAATAGCACCAGGAGAACAACTAAATGAGCAACGGGAGGACTCTGGGGGCAACCACCAGGACAACTGGTTAAAAGGACCTTTAAAGCAGGAAATGATCAGAACACTCATATCTTTGTGCAAAACAACAGGCAGGAGAGGCATTTGTTCCCTGGAAGGGGGCAGTAATAGGAAAGCTAGGCCCAAAAGGCCAGGCGAAGCCTAGTGGCTGACAAGACCCAGGAAGAGGCAAGAGCCCTGGGGCCCAGAAGCTATCCATTGGCTGAAGCACTGCATTGTACATTACTAATGCTCCACAAGCTTCCAAAGCTAAACATGTTATTTGTCAAGAGTTGCGGCTCACTGTGTTAGCAACACTCCCAACAGGGAGAGGAAGAAAAGGAAAAGGAAGATGGCAGGTGGTCCCAAAGGACCGTGTATCACAATTTCAGGTAGGGGCTGCTTTTCAAGCTATACTCGTCAGCTGTAGTGAGGATCATTACAGCATGGTGAGAATAAATAAAGTGTGAAGTCCAAATTAGGTTTCTTCTGTTCTTTCAACTCTTGTCTCTTATAATTTTATTTAATTCTGTTCTTAACAAGGTTACATAGAAATTATCCTGCTTCTTTTTTTGTAAGCTTAGCTCTCACTTCAAAGATGCCATCAACTGTATGTATATACTTATCAAAGAGCAGGCTCTACATGGCACTCCTCTCTCGATTATTACGGGTTTTCTTTCTTCCTTTTTTTAATTTAGGGATTTCCTTAACAACTGCATTTCTGAATCTCAGTTCCAGTAGAGAAGCTACCATTAAAGTAACCATTACAAGAGTCGATACAGGAGAACTAAGCCCTGTTCATGGGCCGCTGAGGTACAAAGAATGAAGAACCTGATGGCTGGCAGGTGGGGAAGCTGGGATTGGAAACCGGCCTTTCCGCCAGGGGGCTGTTTATCACTAGGCGGGCTTGGCTCCATTCCCCAAATTATATGAAAGCACTGCAGCCTGGTACAAAGTTAGGAACTAATGAACACTTAGTTTTTACTTACTCACAATACTGAATAGTCCTCTTTAAGTTCTAGCAGTTTTGCAATTACAGGAATCTTTAAATTGTTATAGGAATCATCATCCAAGAATTTCCTAAAGCAGACAAACCCTTTTTTTTCTAAATATTATTCCTTTAAAATTTAAAAAAAAAAAACATTTTTTCAACAACAGTAAAGGAAAACACAGTGCGCAAAGTCAAATAACACAAAAACATAAAAGTAAAAACTAAAAGTCTCCCCATTCACTAAGCATACCTCTCCCTAGACATAACCACTATGTTAGTAATGTGGTGTTGATCCTTCCATACTTTTTATGTCAAGTCAACAATCTCTCTCAACATTAAGACACAACTGAATTAAATAACACAAGAACAGTTTTTAAATGTTGTGTAACATTTCCTCACATCTTTACTGCAATCTCCAGTCTCCAGCTCCATCAAAAAAAATCAGAAAACAGAAATAATCCAAAACCTTTTCAGAAAAAAGATGAAAAATCAGAAAACAGAAATAATCCAAAACCTTTTCAGAAAAAAGATTAAAAGATAAAAAATAAATATGATTTTTTACATATATAAAGAAATCCAGTGCCATATTAAACTATTAAAAAACATTACTCAAGTCCCCAAGACTGTGTCTATACATATTTTAGCAACAATAGAAAATGGAATTACAATTCAACTGCAGACTCAAAAACAAAATCCCAAGAATGTAGATAAAAATCTGAATTTCCTGGCGAGTTCCAAGTAATGGCAGCAAATGGTCAATTCAAAAATATAGTCCTTGTGTCCACTTTCGCAAACTATAAACTCCTTAAAAGATACAAGAACTGACGCACTCCCCTGAAGTTTCTTTAGAATCTGGGCTCAAATCTAAAATGAAAGCACATTTGCCTGAAGAAACTGTGGGCCAGGGCAGCTTTCTGTTGGCCTGAGAATGTGTCCCCAGCTGTCTGGGGAACAACATAGATGAGTCTGCCTAGCACGGTACTGACCACAGTCTGGAACGACCAGTTTCGAGCCAATCCATGGTGAACAGTGGAGCACAAAAGGAATCTGTGTTGTAGTTGCCAGGAAACTGGCCAGAATTGGTCAAAGTACAAATACAGCTTTTCCATAAACCTCCAGGCCCTCCCATGCCAATAAATGATTCTGGGTTTATGAACAGGCTGACAGCTTGCATTACTTTTACAAAAGTGACAAGAGAGAATTCTTTTCTGAGAAGAAAATTATCAACCCTTCAAAAATATGCACGTAAGATCTTTACAAGCATTTTTTGCATAATAATAAAGCAAATCTCTTACCTTTGGCTGGCTTCTGCATTTCCAAAAGAGATGTCATTGTGGACATGAAAGAAGAAGGAGAGAGTTCAAAAAAAATTTTCTTTTGGTTAGAAGACAATTTTGACAGGTAAAATGATAATAAATACCATGTCAATTGTTAGCAAGAATACAAAATATTAACTTTGAAATCAAATAGCAATTTAAAATAAAGGAAAAATGAATACCTATGAACTAGTAGGGTAGAGTCCTTAATTATAGAAAACTAACTTGCATCTCTCAAGAAGAAAAAACATTATCTGAGCTCTGGATAATTTTTAAAGTCCTAATATTTCTGCCTTACGCATTCTGCTTATCCTTGTAGCAGTCTTGTAAATATATAATTTAAGGAGTCTTTACTTTTTATCATCTGACTTTGCTTCCAAGTAGTTTTCTCTGCTTTGATACAGCAGCAGCTCACTATATAGGCCCTCTATAAAAAAACAAATTCTGGGGTCACCTGGGTGGCTCAGTGCATTAAAGCCTCTGCCTTCGGCTCAGGTCATGATCTCAGGGTCCTGGGATCAAGCCCCACATTGGGTTTTCTGCTCAGCGGGGAGCCTGCTTCCCCCCCTCCCCCTCTGCCTGCCTCTCTGCCTACTTGTGATCTCTGTCTGTCAAATAAATAAATAAATAAATAATCTTAAAAAAAAAATTCTGCTCTGGCTAAGAAAAAATGGTTTTATTAAAGGAACAACGAATTTTTTGCCAGTGAATTACTACTTACTGACTTACTCACTTATTCCCTATTGATCTATCTTACCCAGGTGCTTCTGACCTCCCTCACCCCAAAACTGTGACTCATAACTCCTCAGGGTACAGAGATAAAACTAAACCTAGTATACTCTGGAGATAGTTTTAAACTTAGAGAAAAGCTGCAAGAAAAGCACAAAGAACTCCCTTCACCCAAATTCACCAAGTGTTAACATTACCACATCTACTATATCATTCCCCCCTCCGCCTCCCCTCCTCCATACACAGATAGATAATATACACACACATATATAATATATATATTAGTTCCCTCCTAATCATCTGAGAGTAAGCTGTAGACATGTCTCTTTATGCGAAACACTTCATTGTCTAATTCCTTAATACAATGATGCTCACTTTCATAACCATGGTACGATGTCAAAATCAAAAAACCAACGAATAAAGGAAAGAACTTTAAGAAACCAGAGACAAAAACAATAACTGGAGCTTCAGGAATAACTGTTCTCTCTCCAAGGACCAAATGTCAACTCAAACCTAAAACCTGAAAGGAAATTGAACACAGAAGTATTTCCTTCTAATTGTCAATACAACTTTTGTCCCTCTGTCTCATAAAAAATTTTCTTCTAAAAAAAACTTAATACTAATTTGCATCAAATGATTTCAGGTAAAAACATGAAAACACCAAGGAAAGTCTACCAAAGAGTGACACTTGTCCAACAGATTCTTGGGTGACAGCTGATGTGGCTGACATATAAAAGAAAGTACTTTCTCTGGAATATGAGATATGGAAAAACTTCCTGACAAAAAGACCTGTGAGATAATGGTAGAGGTCACTGATGCATGCTATCATCTTCGTTCTTTCCTTTTTTGTTTCTCAGGGCTTTGTTGTTGCTGTTGTTGTTGACTATATTCAATGCTATTACGTTAATTTCAGGTGGTCAACTAGTGACTGCACAAGTTTCTACACTAGGCTGTGCTCACCCCAAGTGTGGCTACCATTTGTCACCACACAATGCTGTTACAGTATCACTGACTGTACCCCTGTGCTGCGCCTTTCATCCCCATGACTTACTCATTTCGTAACAAGAAGCCTGTATCTCCCACACCCCTTCACCCATTTTGCCCATCCATGCCCCCTTTCCTTCTGGCAACCATCAATTTGTTCTCTATATTTATAGCTCTGATTCTGCTTTTTGTTTATTCATTTAATTTTAGTTTTTTTAGATTCCACATATGAGTAAAATCATATGGTTATTTGTCTTTTTCAGTTTTACAGTTGAGAAACTTAAGGCTCAGAAAACTTAAATGAACCTATCCAAGACACAATAATAAGCAGCAATGGGAAGTCAAACTAGGTCTTCTGATTCCCAAAGTCCACATTCTTCCCCTCTTCCACACTGATGGAAACAGCCCCGTCAAGTTTCTTCTAGACTTAATCTATGAGTCATACATTAACAACTGTTCTTGCTAACAGAAACCTTTCTCAATGTATTAATTTCCTTCATTCTAATTATTACCAATAAAAGGTTACCACCTAGTGCTTATGCCAGTGTAAGTTTACTTAAACTCCAGACTGTCTTTTCTGAGGGAAAAATAAGATATTTAGTATGATATTTCAAGTTTAAATAAAATATTCTATGTAAAAATCAGCTCTTCCTAAGAGACAATCAACAAATACAAAATTCAATAATACAGGACACATCACAGAAGAATCCATGAGACTAACCTGAATTCAGAACCTAATAATAAAAACAGAAACAAACCAGTAGATTAATTACAGAGCTAAGTTTCCAGCTAAGGATTCTGGTGACAACATCAGTCAAGCTCAAATAACCTACAGAGCCACTGGAAACCCAAAGATGTAATTACAGCTCCACACAAAAATAAATAAGTAAATTAATTAATGAAACAAAACCTTTCAAGGTATGGTTGCAATCCAATATGCTAATGGCTAACTTCTCCCCAAATCCCTTATTTAGAAACCTTAGCTATCCAGCTTACAGCAGAGATTCAGGAAGCAAAGAAAACCAGTTCTGACCAATCAAAAGAGCCATCACAAAGTAAAAACATGAAAGTCTTAGTTTCTATCAGCTGAGTTGAATTACTTGTTGTTGTTGTTATTGCTTAACTTCATTTTAAAACCTTCAGACTCACAAAACATTCCAAAAAATAGTACAAAGAATAGTACATACAAGAAAATAGTACAAAGTACAAATATGGGGGTATCCTTCACCCAGCTTCCCCAAATGTGGATGTTTTATATAACCACAGTCATTATGATCAAAACCAGGGAATTAACTATCAACACAAACCTTATTAAACAACCTAGAACGAACCTTAAACAAACGTTTTGCCAACTGTATCCCACTGATGTCCCTTTTCTGGTCCAGGGATCACACCTTCCATGCGGCTATCTATTTCCTCCCACCTGGGACAGTCTGTCTCTCATGACCCTAACACTTGACGAGTACTGGCCAATTATTTTGTAGAATGTCCTTCAATGTGGGTTTCTCTTATGCTTCCTCATAACTAAATTTGGGTTATGTGTTTTGGCTGGCACAACACTACAGGTAATGTGCCCTTTTCAGTGCCTCACACCAGAAAGTACACGATGATGGCCATCCATGTCTCCTAACTGAGGATGGTAACTCTATGATCATTTGCTTATGGCTGCATCTACTAGGTTTCTCCATATAACAGTACTAGTTTTCCCTTTGTACATTTTTCTTATTGGGAAAGACTTTGGGACTATATAAATATCGTCTCTCATCATACTTTCACCCAAGAATTTGAGCATCATTGATGAATCTTGCCTTCAACAATTACTGTTTCCCAAATGGTGACTGTGTAGTTACTGGAGATGTTAACAGCCCAGGTAGATCCACATGGACAGATGTGCTTTATAGGAAGAGGTAAACTTGGGAAACAAATGATTTAGTAGCACAGTTTGAGTAGAATAGCTATTTATGGAGAAGCTACTCATCTCCTTCTTTTTACTGACCTGGTTTATCGGTATAGCTCACTTCTCATTTAAATAATACATTACATCATAAAATTAAGTCCAATTACACTTGTAATTTTTTAAATGTCACAATATGAAGAATAAATTTAATGACTATTTTATATAAATTGTGATCTTTGGAAATGTTTACTGATACTTTTGACCATAATAATATACACTACCACTGAAAGAATAGCTCTAAGAACTAGAAATAACATAGCTGGATGCAAGGAAGACTCAAGGAAGACATGATGTCATCTTCAGATTTGAGGAGGCTCACACATTTGACCATAATAAAAATAAAATCTATATTGGATCCAAAATAAACCACACAACATCCTGTACGTGTAAAACATAGAGCAGTATCAGCAGAATTACAAGTTACAAATCAATTATGCTGTCCAACTACCAAAATTGAACATAATATCTAAATATCAACACCTCTTTTGATTTTAAAGATTTAAGTTTCTGAAACCTTCACAATTAGAAATATTTGGAATCTCTGTTTTAACAGGATCTCTCTCCAACTCACTCCATAACGGATGTATACATCACAAAGAGCTTATTCTGATACAGCCGTACTACGTAATGATATTGTTGCTTTTTTCAGACTTAGCTGGCAGTACCAGCAACCAAACAACAATCTGTGTGATGATCGTTATTTTTTTCTTGGTCATCCCTCCCCTGATGTGCTTTCTGCACAAGGAATAAAGCTGGATATGACTAAAATTTTCAACACTGACTAGACTCACCAAGGAGTCAATCTTTGCTTATCTCGCCAGCTTTAATAAGTACAAACATCACTAAAAGGCCTGTTTAGTGCTTCATCGACATTTGGAGTACTCACTTCAGTTTTGAAGAATAAATTTTAAAAGCATTATTGATAAAGTAGAATATCTAGGAGAACAGGATATAAAGGAGGGTTTGAAAACATTACCACTGAAAGAATAGATGAAAGGACTAGAAATAATGTAGCCGGGCGCAGGGAAGACTCAAGGAAGACATGATGCCACCTTCAGATTTGAGGAGGCTCACATATATGGAGGTAGGAGGAGAAGCAGACTTGTTCTAGGTCAGCTTAGAGGCTGAATTTGGTAGGATCCACTGGAGAAAGCTAAAAGAAGAGAGATATCTCTCCAATACAAGAATAATTAACACTGTGTTAAATGGCCAGCTCCCATGCGTGGAACTATATGACAAGAGAAAAGTAGCTGATGAGGATGTTGTGGAAGGAAGGAGAAATTATACACTGGATCACTTGTAGAGCTCTCTTTATCTAGAAT